TGCTCTTCGTCTTTCTCTTTTGCGATCGCCGCACCCGTGCAAATCGTCCGGCGAAGAGATGAAGACACGCCGAATTACCGAGCAATTGGGTCGCAATGTCGTCCGGAATCGCACGTATGCGAAGCATCTTGAGAGATGAAATGTACAGAGAAGAGAGAATCGCGTTCTGCGATTCGATTGCGAGTCGAAAATGCACAATCGTGTTCTCTGCAGTTTAGTTTTGTTTTCAAATAAAAAAAAAAAAAAAAAAAGTGGTACACAAGTACAATGAGAAACATAAAGTACAACTGATTTTTTTTCTGTTAAAGAAAGAACACGGAGAAAAACTTCAAAAGGTAAATTTTTTTATTACAATAAAATAATTTACAAGATACAAAGTTTCGAGCTTCCATTTTGAGAGAAAAAACTCGCGGAATTTTTTATCTCCGTTTGCAGTAACAAATATAATTTATTATCGAAGTGTATACATTGTTTATCGAGTTGCAGTTGAGTTATTTAAACAAAAGCTTTGATATTTGTTGCAATTAGTTCAATTGTCAATATTAAATGTTTTCACAATTGAGCATTAATATATGAATTTCGGAGTTAATAACATAATAATAACAACACAAAATAAATAATGAGATCTATTAGTATCGCACATTTCTCCCAATCGCGCTTATGAAAAATCTATAATCAGTTTCATAATCGAAACAACAAACAACATCAGCCGCGAGGATCGTTTCGTTTCTGCAACAAAAACAAAAACAATTTCGAGACGAGCCGTAGTCTGTCGGTCTCACGACGACAGCTGTGTCTTCCTTATCCCCCGTTATGTATGTCCACTCGACATACCGCAATCTGCTCGACATGACGGCCGTCGCGTCTCGCGGCCCGCAAATCTCGTTTCGGTCTTTTCTTGCCGGCGCCGCAAGCGGCTGCGATCAGCGATGTCCGCTGGCGCAAACTTTCCTCGTTACAACCCGGGTATTCGCGACAAGTACTCGAGGAGGCGAGACGACGGCGGCGGCTGCAGCTGTCATCTGCGCGGTCTGATGAGAACCGCGGGTAAGCGAAAACTTGCCAAGCCGTTGTTGAGAGAATAGCGGCGCGCCGAGAGGAGAGACTCTCCTCTTTTTATCGCGATACTGATCGACATCGATCGATCGCCTAGCCGTCGACTTCTTCGTCCTGTTCGCGCCTGTGCTTTCGCTTCTTCCTTCCGACCCCCGGGAGGCATTGCCGAACTCGTGAGACGTTTCTTATCGCGCATGCTTCGCGCCGCAGAAACTCGATATCGTGTTACAATGCAAAAAACGAATATTCAAGTTCGAAGAAACGAGAGAGAGAGAGAGAGAGAGAGAGAGAGAGAGAGAGAGAGAGAGATGGAGAGATGTTATTATTAGAATATTTTTATTATTTTATTCGTTTTTACAAATGTGTCTTTTATATTAGATATTAATGAGAGATACAATTTATAATGTAATTATAAATTTTACATGTTTGAATTTCTAAACTCTCTCTTTGCAACCATATCTAATCAGAAGTTACAAATCTCTTCGCTGGATGCTAAACACACTCAAATATTACTTTACATTGCTTTCTGACATCGCTCCTTAATGAATTCGCTCACGTCATCTTTTTCAGTTGCCACTTGTCGGATTCAAAAGTGCGGTTGTGTCGCGCACTTCACTTATTTATGTATGTATAATTTTGATAGAGCTGTCCGTTGGAGATCTTCGTCGTGGATCTCTCTGCGAGACGTGTATATAATATATCCACGTTTCTCATCGCGTAATCCTCGAAAGGATCGCGCGTCTCGACGGAGATTATGCCATCTTCGACTTTTTGTTCACGAAGAGACACAGAGATATAAACCGGTGTTCTCTCGAGATATGTGGAGACGTAACACGTCCATATGCGTTCGCCAGCTGCCGCCGTCGGGAAATAACCGCGATCGGCACGTACGTCGTTATTTCTACACACGTGGTGGATTACGGTCGAGGTGTAACCGTCAGGGTGGATTATCCGGTGTTGCTGCGGATCGCCGCGGGTGATCGCACTGACAGTTTCGTGTCTATTAAATGAAGTGTGTGCTCGACTTCTTTTTCTTTCTCTTTACTTCTCTCTCTTTTTCTCGCCCTTTCTCCTCCCTCTTGAATTTTATTTCGGCAAATTTTTCTGCCAAACACCTTCGCGCGCGTTTTTTTTTTTTTTTTTTCACTTATATTTCATTATCGGTTTAATGCAACATAAACAAATAATACTGCAACTATACTCAATTGTAATAAAATTATTACACGTGAATAAAATTGTTTCATTAATCATATCGAATTAAACATAATTAATATATACGTATCAATTTGCGACATGTAGCTTATTGATTGTTAATTAATTTATTATTATTTATTTGTATTGTGTCTGACATGATAAAACGTCAACGTTTGAAAATCTCACGAAACATCTCACGTTATACACAAATAAGATTAAAATCGCGTACTCTCTTGTGTATTTTTGTTCCCTCCACAGCTTTCAAAATGTTAAATATCTGAAGAGTGAAACTCTGCGCGTTATGCGAGTTACATTTTTGCTGAAATTATTCAAGGACTCCGCGAACACAAAAATCTGCATAAATAGAACGTGGAGTCGGCCGCGCAAATAAAAACTGTTACTTGACATTTGCTTACAGGATTTTTATCAACACTCGCATTGAAAGCTCGTTTTTTTTTTCCGCGCAACTTTTTCCTCGTGTAAGCTTCACACGTTACCGCTCGGAGAGAGTCCGTCGGTTATAATAAAAAAAAAAAAAAAAAAACAAAGAAAACAAAAAACTAACTCGGTAGAAGTTAGTATCCACTGATGTGATGCGCTTCGCTCTCGCGGGTTAGTTTCAGTTCGCGGCTACCCTCTTCGGAGGATATGACGTCATCCCCTGCGCGTTGCTCGCCGGCGGCGATAAATGGAAAATAAAAGGAGAACCACTCGTCGCGCCCTTGTCCGAGCGGCCGGCAAGCCCGGGAATAAATCACGATCGAATTGTTCCCCGAGAGAGAGATAGAAACGGAGAGGGATCTCCCCGACCCTGAACGTCGGCGCAGATCCCCGCCGGAAATTAGAATAACGCGAGCGACGAGCTGCAGCAGCAGCGTTCTCCCTCGGGCGAGCCATTCGCGTATCATCGTGAAAATGCATGTCCAACTGTGCACCCATTTGTTATGATTCGTAACAATTCCCAACTTTGTCTCGCTAGAGAAATAAAAATATATATGCGCGCTTTTTTTTTTCGTCGGAAGTACGAAGCGCTTTTAATCAATTGTGAAAATGTCAAAAAAGATAATAGATATACACTTGGCGCTAACTTCTGCAAAAAAAAAAAAAAAAAAAATAGCGTAATAAGAATAGATCGCACCTTTAAACTCGCGGATATGGTTCGGTTTTGCTTCGTAAGTCACAAGTGTTTTTTTATATTTTTCGATAGAACGGCGTGGTGCGAGAGAGTTTTTTTTTATAGGGTAGTAATGTTGTTTAAAACTGTGATGGATTGCGAGCGTAAAACACATGGCGTGGCGCGATATATTTTTATTCGCCGCGCTCTCTCGAACCGGGGAAAAGCTCGGATTTTCGGTTTTCCGAAGTAACGAAGCCGAAAAGGGGGAACGCGCGCGTATATATATACATCATACGGACGGGTATGTAACATCCACTGTCGCCGCGTCAAAGAGTGAAAAAATTCACGTGTCAAATAAAAAAATTAGCCCCGTCACGTGGGCTGCCGCGGAGCCGAGGTCGAGTAGATTTTCGCTTGTTCGTTCCCTTCGATTTTCGAAAATACCTACGCGCGAGAACGACGACGTAATTTCATTTTCGCGTCAAATCTATCGGTCTTTTCGCCCATTCACTCTTCGACCCGCCGGCGTTCCGGCGCGCTACGGGGTGGTCCTCGCTGTTATAGTCCGGATGTCCTTTCATCACGCGAGATAAAGTTAGGATAATGATAGATTCGTCCGCCGCCTCGAATTACACGCGCGCGCTTACGAAACCACGTTGAAAATTGAAGCGTTCCCAGCGCGGTGAGCTTCGCGAACGTAAATAGATCAAATCGAATTAGTCGAACAGAGCGTAAATGAATTATAGAGGACGTGAAATTACAAAGCGTGTTGACACAAGCGTGTCTGTCTGTCTGTTCTGTGTCAAGTTTGTCTCGTTGAAAATACACGTCGACGAAAAGAAGGATCGGTTTTCGTCAAATGTTACCTCTTGTGAGAGTTTGTGAGCACAGGTGTCGAATATATCGGGGACACCTCGTGTATAACCGCCGTCGAAGTTTATCCGTGGACCTCGAAAACTCATTTCCACCGTCGGTGGCAAACGCTTCGTTAGCGGTAACGCCCGTGCTATACCGGGTGTCCGCGCGTTTCACGATAGTCCCCCTTTATTCTCTAAATGGCCGTGGTCGCGGGATAAAAAGTTCTTTTACCTTCAATTCTCCCGGCCGGAAGCCTCTAAAATGGACATTCCCATTTCGTCGAAAATCATCTCACTTTTCCCGCTGAAAAGGCTATTTTCACCAAAGAAGATTGTGGAAGAGAGAATGGGCGCGTGCGCTATCTCTTCCCGCGCGCGAAATCGAATATTCGCACTCGAAGAGATCCGAAACCGGATAAACGAACGATTAGAATTTCAAACGACGAATTCCCCCCTTCGCGCGCTACGTGAGGCGTGAAACGAGAGAAAAATAGTCAGACACACTTTGCTTAAACGGGGAAGGAACCAGATGGAGAGAGAGTGGGAAAAAGTCAACTTGTTTAAAGAGCCGAGCAAGTTCGGAATATCCCCGAAGTAGTTGTAAAACAAACGGGAAATGCTCATCTCTACATTTTTCTTGTTCGAAGCGGCAACAAAACAAAAAAAAAACTACTACTGCGCTTGCTTTTTTTATCGCCGTGAGAGTTTGGAAGGAAGGTACTTGTGATATGTGTACAGCAGCGATCTTACGGTTTCTCTTCTTGTTCGTGTTTCAGGTCCACCCGGTGAGCAAGGAAAGAGGGGCAAGAAAGGAAAGAAAGGCGATCCCGGGGAGCCCGGCCCGCCGGTGAGTATCTGCCGTGCTCTCGTCGCTTCGTATCTCGCGGGCACGTATATATATGTATATATATATATATATATTTTGTTTTTATATACATATATATATATATATATATATATTACTCTCCGTTTTATTATAGTAGTTTGCACTGATAATATACTGTCGCACGTGCAATTATGTGTGTGCGAAGTGTGTTTATTAGGGAGCGCGGCAGCTCCATGCATGAAGTAGTAGTTAACAGTTACATACCCTCCCTGGCCCCTCCTTTTCTCGTGCGCTCTCGAGACCGACGACAAGGGAACGCGACAAGACGCGCGATATGACTTATAACGTCGAGTGCGCGCGCGCAATCTTCGCGAGGGACACGCGCACGCACGGAGTATAAAGAGGAAACAACATCGAGGACACGTTCTCTTCAAGATGAGACGGTTCTGTAAAACGTGGAATAAAACGAGCTGAACTTTTAAAAAATGATCCGTGCACGCTAGTGTATTTAATCATAATCACGCGGAGAGAGAAAAAGAGAGAGATGCGCTCTAAGAACTTAATTCTTCTTCTCGCGAGGAAGGAAAATCTCTTTTTCTTTCTTTCTTTTTTTCTTTGAAAATAATTTGCCGGATTATTTCCGAGAGAGCGTGTCTTCGATACAATCGATAGTTTTCGAAGGTTTCGCGGAGAGGAGAGTAACAAGGTGATTTAATTGGAGTTTTCTTGTTAGGCGCCTCCTCTTGTGTAACGAAATATCGATGTCGGATGACTCGGCGATTAAAATGCGAGGTATAACGGGTTGCAGCGCGTTGCCAGAAGGAAAAGAGGAGTTAATATTAATTCCGCTCGCGATGTCGAAGTATAATACAGTTACGTACAGGAAATAATTAATTACCGAGGACTGTTTCTCGCGCTTTTACAATCCGATCCTTTCTAAAACCCGAAAGGATTGTCTCTTTTTGTTTTTATTATTATTTACATAAGGCGCGCGCCTATTTAGTTTTAAATTTAAAAAAAAAAAAAAAAAAAAAAAAAAAAAAAAAAAAAAACGCACATGACGGACACAGAATAGAAAAAACGATCGAAAGCCGAATTTGTCGAGCGATAACATCATCGAGCTCGATCATCGATGTCGAAATACGCGCGTCTATCTCGCTTGGGCTGGTTGCGCGCGGCTTCGTGGGTGTTCCGGGAGCGTGCGATCGGATTTCCCGGCGCGATTGGCGATCGAGCGAGCGCATCGTCGCGTAATCAAAGATCGGATCGGCGGAACGCCGGGAGAACGAGAGCGGAGACTGATCGGCGCGCTCGTGTGCGTGCGCGCGCGCGTGCTTATACGCCCGTGGAATATCTAATTGGTCGGAATAATTATCGGCTGCGCGATGTATACGCGATGTAGTCTTCCTACGGGACCGTGTGTCGTTCTGTGTATGTATATATATACACACGCGGACTCGAAGACCGATAATATCGCGAGCACGATCGGTCGGCCCCGCGGAATAATCGCTTTTGCATGCGCGCGCGAGAGAGCGTACCCTGAGTTATTTCCCCTGCTCCCCTCCTGTTTCGCCTCCGTGTAAACGAGTTTTTAATTTTTTATACCCCTTCTTACAGGGTGTGGCCGGGACGCCGGGCAAGAACGGTTTTCCGGTATATTATTTTTTATTTTCTCTCTTTCTCTTTCTTTCTCTATCTCTCTCTGTCCACACTCCTCTTCTCGCTTCTCTCTATCTGTTTTGTACGTCTGTATGACTACTTGTCTCGCATCTCTTCTCTTGTCACGCATTATTATTTATTTTATCTGTCTGTGTCTCTCTTTCAATCTTTGCTGTTCACATTTCCGATCATCTCACGCCGTGACTCTCTCACCACATTGTCTGTGTTGTCGAACATTTAACAGCTATTTAAGTATTATTATTAATGCGTATCACACATAGCCGCTGATGTGCGATTTTTGCCCGTACGGCCTGCTTCTCTTTATTCGCGAGCTGTCTCTCGACCTGGATCCTCTTCCGGCTCTCGATACGGCTGTTCACCTACATTGTTTGTTGTTTTTTTTCTCTTTCAATATTGCATTTAATATCGGCGCGATATCCGTATACGCGCGATCGAAGCGCGAAATCGGACAATTTGGCATTTTCGTTTTCGAATGCGCGTCGCTTCGACAACTGACGATGCAACTGTGTGTGTGTGTGTTTTTGCATCGAGGAAACAGATTAATTGCACTCCTCGCTCGTCGCGAGTATATCCTCGTTTTAATTGCTGGCAATCTTGAGCCAACCTATCAACGTTTCTCCGCTTGGAAGGTATCAAGTTGTTATTCTGACGCAGCTGTAATTACCGAGTCGAATCGGGAGCGACTTGTTGTTTGTAAAAATTAACAACTAAAACGTCTTCAAATAATGTCGTTAAAACATTTTATTACTCGAGTTCAAAGTGCAAAAGTATATTTTTCACGTTCTCAATTTACACAATTCAACGAATTAGTAAACATCTTTTGTATCTTTCACGAAAAACATCTGAATGTTTTGCAAAAGAAGTTGACTATAAACGTAAAATTCACTCGCTGAGACTCAGTCGCGCGCAAAATTGATTAACAAATTACGACAACTGCGTGTCGGGAGAAACTCATCGTAAATCGGTGACGAGGCATTAATGTCAGAATACGATCTGCAATTAAATACACAAGTTGCATCGTCAGGACTGGCGCTACGCGGCGAGAGATTGAAGATATTCACGCGTGCCAAATAAAATTGCCATTCATCAACCCGACTCTTCTTCGCGACTCTTTTATTCTCGCCGCAAGAATATATTGTCACCCGCAGAATCATGCGAATGCACTTTTGTCGTGCCTGGAAGCATAACGACTCATCACGACACTGGTTATATTTTGTCGCGCTCGACTCGTGTTTATCATCACATATACGCAAGGAATGAGATTGTTTATTTCAAGGGCGCGCTCGGCCCGCACGCAATTTTTCACTTTTCTTCGTTCGTCATTACGGACACGTGAAAGAGCGACGAGAGTAGCACTGACTGGCGCTGTTCTTTCAGGGACCCATCGGCTTGGACGGACCCAAAGGTGATCCGGTAAGTTCGCCAACATAATTTACATCTTAATTCGTCGTGTCTCGCGAGCGCGTACGAAATTAATTGCGTCGTAAAAACCGCGCAGAGAAGATGATTTTATTCACGTCGCTTAACATCATACTGTGAATGCAACATTATTTAATAATGTAATGATTGTGGGCGTGAAAGAATTTAATTACACGTCTCCTCGTGCGCGGCGTGAAACCTGTTTTACCAAAATTTATGTTTACGCGCGAGGTATCATCATAATAAATTTAATTTATTTTTATCCTTTTTCGTTTTGTTGCCGCCGGACGTGTCGGGACTCGTGAAATATATTTGCGCGTTTTATTTGAAAATGTAAAGCTGAACACGAAGGCACGAAGATAGTTTATGCGCGATAAATGCGGAGATTTATCTTTTAAACATGTCCGGTTTTTTGTTTTATTCGAACGACGACGTCAATTGATTGTTGCTCGAAATGGCAAACGGGGGTATTACGGAATTAGACGTGTTATTATCAACGCTTTTCGCCCCGATTCGCACAGGTGTGAAAGAAGGTCACGACGAGTATTTCGAGAGAGCGTGTGTCTGTTTTCTTGCAAAGAGAGAGAGAGAGACGCTTACGTAATCTACATAGAAAATTTATTTCGATCTTTATTTGAGCCCGTTCGGTCGATTTAATTAAATGCGCGCGGCACGTTTTTTTTTTTTTTTAACGCAGTTAAATGTCACTCCCTCCCGAGAAAGACGACAATCAAGCGAAATCGACTCTCTCGAGGTGACAGATGCAAAGATAACGTAATGAGAAAGAAAGAGACCGAGAATTTTGATATCGAGTTTCCGTCAAACGCAGCCGTTCCTAAAAAAAAAAAAAAGAAAAAAGAACACACACAGAGGGGTTTAGAATTCTTCCAGCTCACTTCGCGGAGTCGTGTACTTCAGCAGGAATAATTTATTTGGTCGGCGTTTTAGAAGACAACGGACACGTGTTCATTATGTCGCAACATATGAATAATTAAACGCTTCGCGAGTGCAAGAAACCGGAGATACAATTAAGCGCTCATCAATCGAAACTCGTTTTATCCATTGTGCTTTTTCCCTTTTTTATTTCTGAATTTTTTTTTTTGTTGTTCGGAACGGCCGACATATGCTCGTCGAATTAGCCGCAAAAATGCAGGATGATCAATCATACGGGCGATACACTCTTGGTATCGCATTCAACGGTTTACGCTATCGCACAGTTTTTGACGTGCGCGGCTCAAACGCTGGCGATGGCAGCGAGTGAAAATGAATACGAGTTTAAAATCACATGAGGATTCAACAATGCAGATGTTTTTGCTGATATTTACGCAAATATATCTGCAAAATATAACTAATTGAAAAAAAAAACTATTATTTTGTTGCTCCGATAGCGTGAAAAAAAATTGATGACACAGAGCACTCCTCACTGTGATACTGTGTGTGTATGTGTGTGTATCACAATGCGCGATGAAACTAATAAATTTATATCCTACGTTTGCATTTTTGTAACGACTGTTTAATTTTGAAAAATATTACACTGCGAGAAAAACGCGAGAGAGAAAATTAAGGGGTTTATATATTCCGCGATATTATTCCTCGTAAGCAAAAAATAAAAACATTCTTGCAGAATGAAGATGATTATTGATCGGTATTGCGGGGCGCGCAAATTCGCCGTATCTTTTAATTTGCGCTCGCACAGCAGTTTCGATTTATCACAATTTATTAAGACGACTCTCTCTATGTACGACGGTCGCGGTCGCGGTCGCGGTTGCGTGGCGACGGTCGAATCGAATTGCGAAGATGAATCGGATTTTAAATTGAGGATTTGCTCGCTCACTTGCGCTCACTTACTCCATTAACTCGAATGTGTCGGTTACTCGATCGCTATATTTTCTCCGATACGCGATATCTTCTAGCTCCGAGTGCGATTCATCGTTCGAGGCCTATTCATCATCAACTCTCCAAGTCTATTACACGTGTTATCTTCTTTTCGCGCGCGAAACAAGCCGCCGCGAGCTGTAAATCGATAAGGCAAAACAGATCCCGAGAAGTCGTGCGTACAACAACAACACACAACAACACGTCGTTATCGCAGTCATTTTGCAGTCATCATCCGTAAATGCGTAACAATCATTTAATCCAATGGTAAGAGAATATTCCGTCCGGGAAGACGGACGCATTGTTGCTCACGTTGACACGAGAAGGACGCAAATATCAGGGTACGTCACACGTGAGCGTAGATTGACAATTCCTGACATTCCTCGTCTCGTCTTTGTCGTTGTCTGGCGCAACGTTGACTGCGCACACGAAACGTTATTGCCACTCCGAGCGGACAAATCTTTGTATATTCGCGGAGAATATATACGGAAATTAAATCGTCGACTGTGCAGCAAACTCGCGCGTGTATCCTAGAATCCGAGTGTCCTGTCCAGATTCTGTGCGCCTCGACGTACATTTGATCCGTTTTGTCGTATACATATATATATATATATATATATATATATATATATATAATAATAATAATAATAATAATATAAAATAATACATGAAGATTTTCGCGCGCGATTTTCGTGACCACGGCGACAAGGTCCTTGTACATGCGTGACTCCCGGTTATGCAAGGGGTACCTCGGTAACACGCGATGTCTTTTCGCATGACAAGCCCTTGCGCGTCGGTGGTCCTTTGTGGCCCGTCTAGTTTGCTTTACAAGTAGAGCAGCCGCTTCTGTTTATACATGTGCATACACACACACACACAGACGTGTGTACATGTGACACGGTGTGTGTCTACGTTTCACGGTGTACAGGATGTCGCAGAATTACCGCTATTTCTCCTCGGTTGCAGACTGATTAATTAAGAAGGTTGACGTTTGATGCAATGTTCTTTTTTTTTTCAGATGCAAACAACTAGATAAGCCGCGCCGTCTTTTCTCTCACTTAGTTTCGCCAGAAAGAATTTTAATCAAACTAATTCAGACGCGTAGCAGCTTCATTAAGACACTAATATTAGCAGAGTTTCTTTGACGAACGAAGCGTGTATAGCTTGCGGATAAGATGCGCGTGCATATCGGAACACGAGCGACTCGAAAGAATGCGTGAGCGACAAGTTCTAAGACATTCTGTACGGTGAGGTTTCCGACGACGAGAATATACACGAGGACGTGTTGCGTGGTAGAACGGTGACGTGGCTGGTCTCGGTGGCGGTAAGGTACAAACGACAGAACAAACAGATAGCGGGCGAACGTGTCCCGTAGAGAAGGAGACAGAACCGGTGACGGGGAAAGGAAGAGAGAGAGAGAGTGGAAGCAATAAGTGCATTGCAAATATCGCAAGATATTTGTTTTGTCGATGGCCGCGGGAAGAAAGGACCCGATCGACTCCTTCCTCACTCTCTCGCTTTCTCTCTCTCTCTCTCTCTCTTTGTCCGATCAGCGTTTTCTTTAAACGAGTGTGGCAAACGAGTGTGTACACGCCGGCGACCAATCGTAAGCCCGACGTATCGATCTTCGCTGTCTCCGATATTCAAGTATAGTAACGAATCTCCCCGGCGTTTATATCGGATTTCATGCAAATAACTGCGACGCGCGCGCGCGCGCGGATCTACGGAAGCTCTGCAATTTGCCTCGGAATCGCGGCGCGCGGACAAGACTCGGCGGTGCAAACACACGCCGTTTGTCTTCTCTTTGAGAATTTACCAACCAAATCTCCTTCCCCATCCAGAGTAACGCGAATTACAAGCGCCGTTCCATCTCAAGCGAAATATTAAATCGCAATTTTAACCCTCGCCGAATCGCGTAATCGAAAATGTCTCTCTCTCTCTCTTTCTATGTATGTCTCTACAATTTCGCGCAAATGTAATTTCCTGTTTGTGAAAAAGCGCGCGGAGAGAGTAATTCCCGCGCGCACACAATGACAAATATATAGCGCATCGATACAGCGAGCGGAAGTATAAATCTGAATAAACCGCTTACGGTAGAATTAGAAATGATTCAGCCTGATGATGTCTGTATATGGACCATTGCGAGCTTTTGTCAAATTTTGAATACGTAGACTAAAATTTCCGATTTCAGCATTGTGTGTGCACCCTTTCAATCCATTGTTGTATATCTGTAAATTATCTCACTCCTCCCCATTTTATTACTTAATTTTACTCTTTGCGTTTGTTCCTCCCCCCTCCCCCTCTCTTCTCGACGAGAGAAATGTAGTTTGTTTATTTTCCCACACACGTACGTGTTTCACACTCTTCATTCTGAAAAAGACGTGTGAAGACGATACTAGTTAATACTGAAACTTGTAGAGAGCACGAGCATGAACGACGATCGCGAAGAGGATAAAAAATGTAAAAAGAAAAAAAACGCACGCATCTAACTTCTCTCTGTAGACATTTCGAAATCAGAAAGAATCTCATTTACTTTAATACCGAAAGAATCTCCGCGGCTCTTCTTCGCACAGACATTTTGAATTCTATCGCGTATCCTTGAAACGATTGCAGCAGAATTCCTGATTAAAGCTTGAAAGCGATAAGCATTTGTAATTCAAAGCACAGAGATAATTTTCTAAAAGGAGGATCTATATCTTTTTGCGCAATTGTCTTTTGTTTTAACCGACTCGAACGAATGCCGAAAAATTTTATTCCGAAATAAGAGAAAAACCTCTCTTGAAAACCGTCGGTAAAAATTCCAACGTTCGTTCCGAAAAAGAAAACGAGTTGTTATTTAATTTGCAAGAAGTGGAGTTTATTATTCTCGATCATAGAAGAGATACTTCTTGCATTACAATCACGAGAGACAAGAGAGCGTTGTTGTTTTTTTGTTACTCAGTTTTTGTCATCCGCGCTGTCACGATTTATTGCGACGTACGTAACGCAAACTGTCTATTTTTGTTCGCAGGGCCGACCCGGTGACAAGGGACAGAAGGGCGAGCTGGGCAGCCCCGGATTCGATGTCTTGTCCGCAGTGAAGGTATCTAAGCTACGCTATCTCTCGGCAGAAGAAAAGCAATATCCGCCCGGCGCACTCGTAACGCGAAAATGCGTGCTTGCGCGCGCGCGCGTTCTCTCATTTCTCGCCCTGCAACTTCCGTCGCCGTTTTTCCGAGAGCAATCTCGTAAAGCCCTGTGTGTGTATATGAGGGCGCGAGAGAGCGCGGGAGACACGAAGAATACGAAATAAATCCTTGGACGGGCGGAAAACGGCGGCCGAAGGAGCGGATGAGAGAAACGATATTCTCGTCGCGCGCGAGCTGCGCGCGCGCACGCAAAGCTGCAAATCCTATTTTACACGGTTAAAGTGCACTCGAGCGGGAACGTTATTAACGCCTATCTCGATCGCGTCAGGCGTCAAAGGACCGCGGGGGCAATTAATCGAGTAAGTTATACGGATTTCGGTTCAGGCTCGAAAGAATTTCAAATATCGGGGGCGAAGAAATTAATGTCGCGCGCGCGCGCGCGAGGGGAATCCCTTTAGGTTGGAACGATCCGACTCAAACGAGAGGACTCTTTGCACAAATCCTCAGGGAAATCATACAACGGAGAGAGGGGGGATGCAGCCTGATTCGCCTCGGCGTTTATCCGTGATAATTAAATTTTGACTCGGAAACGCGAAAATATATTATTTTGCAACGTTGTCGGAACGTCTGAAATAACATTTCGCACCGCAGTTTCTCTTATAGCGCGCGTTGCTACGGAGGAAGACCCGTTTTTATTTGACGTCAGAGTATTGAGGTCGAGGACGGGGAGGGAATGAGAGGGGGTTTTATTCCGCTCGAGCGCACTTGCGCGCGTCGTCGATCGCGCGCAATTTCTTTTTCCCGAAGTCAAACGACAAGAGAACACTCTTCCTCTTGTCACTTCCTCGTCGTCGAGAACCGAGTCGGCGGCTGGCTTCGTCCTGGAGGTTTCGCGAGATTCCATTGTGAATCACTGACGCGTGTCCGACGCGTTCGTCCGTGCAACATGCATATGCATATATACACGCTTGTGTCCAGAGCGAAACCGCCGAAAGCTCCGCGTTCTCGATCCGACGCAACAAGCGCATCCGTCGTATCGATCGGTGCGTTCGCTGCGCGTCGACGAGACCGTCATCGCGCGTAGAGTCCGTGCGCAACGAACAGAGGCGATTAATAAGCGCGTCTTTTTATTCTTGTGATACAGTATATGTTTGAAAATCTCATTTAATAATATTGAAAAGATTATTTCTTTTAATTTTATTATTAAAAATTTTCATGTTCCATAAAATAATTTATATTCTCTCACAGACGGAGAGATAAAATTTCAAATTTATTTAAAATAAAAAACGACTATCCGAAATATTCTCTGACGTTTCGTTACAGTAAAACACCATTTTCCAGTTTTACGTTTAAAAAATTAATTTTCAGTACAATTTAAAAACTATAGTAAAGTATTTTACGCGTAACGTTTATTGCCGCGCGTCTCAAACGTAAAGCGCAATCATTCACGGGTCGGAAAAATCACGAAGGAAGTCGAGGGAAGTCATCATCATCCGGAGGAGAATCGCGTCAGCTGTTGCTCGTCTACAAAAAGTTCCGCGCGTCAGTATGACCGAACAGCGAGAAACGAACAACCGATGTATGCACGATCTTTACGTCCGTTCCGTCGCGCGCCATCCGTCAAAATGCAGACGGTGGCGCGCGTAACGGCGAAATTGCCTCAGCGCCGCGACCCGATGAATGGTGAGCGCGAAAAACTCGCCGCGCACGGACTCTCCACCGTCTGTGTTGGAAAACGAATTTCACGCAATCTGTTCCGCGAGCGCGCGTACGCGCTTTTTTTTGCTATCCCTCCCGTTTTGACGCGCATCCGAACCACCAAGCCAACCACCATACAGCCACACGGCATCGCAGCACGAGAGTAAATAAATAAATTTTTACCTTTTTGCGCCTACGGGTCAATGCACAGGGATTGGGGTTAAAGAGGTCGGTGACGACGCTCCGCGGCGGGACGCTTGGCTACGCGGAAATCGTCGCCCTCAAGGTAAACCGACCTTCTCCTTCTCGGAAAGCGCGACACGCTTCATGGTGTCGCGATCCGGACGGACGTTCTCCTTTTTTTTCCTCCCCCCCGCCTTTTAGCCGCGCTCTCAGCTCTTCATCCCCGTCGTCCCACTGTTTCTTTCCCGTCACCCCGTCATTGTCATTACCATCTTGTCAACGTCGCTTCTTCTCTTCTACTTTTTCACCCTCTCCCACGGCCCCAGCCGTTCACACTCTCCAACTCCCTCACTCGCCCTTGTTATACCACCTGTCTGTCAGTTTTGTGCCCCCACGTGCGGGAATCCGCGCGTCGTCGCATACAGCCCGATGCGCGACAGGCCGGATCTCGTCCTAGTCGTTCGTTCTCTAGCTAGTCGTGTTGCCTCGTGCGGTGCTTTCGGTGTAGCGTTCTCTCGTTGGTTTATTCGAAACGAAGCGCTACATCGGCGCTCGTTTGCTTCGAAGTTGCAGGTCCTTTTTTTGATTCTCCGTTCCGGGACTTTTAAATAAAATTTCAAAATACATTTCTCCACACATGGAAGGAGATGAGTAGAAACAAGCATGTGTAGTTAATATAAAAAAAGTGTAAAAGTTTTTGTTTTTCATATAATCAAACAAGGGACCCGGTCGAAGACGAACGACCGTCGATGACGCGCTTCTTCACTTTGGTTTTTGGTTGGTAATGGTGTTTTTACTTTAAGTTACAGTATTTAGGTATATCTCTGGGCATGCCTTGGATTCGGAAGAGCAGTGAGATACGAGAACCCACCCTCACCCTAAACAAAAAATATAGCCCACACAGATGTCCCCGACACGCTTCCCGCCCGAAACCGATAACGACCCCACACCCAATCACCGTCCCTTGTTTTTGTCTTGTAGCAATTTGGTTTTTTACCCGTAGTGTTGACCTACTTTTAGGAACTTCAGGAGAAAGGGGTTAATATCTCAGCGCAGTCCATCATACAACTGAAAGTAAGTGCGCCTGCTCTTCGGGAGCCCCTTATTCCTTCCCACCCCCCCTTGTCGATTCTTCGATGATCGGTGCTCGGATCGAATCTCGCGTCGTTGCTCGCAAAACACGTCGCGTCTTTGCAAAACGATCTTGATCTCGCAAATTTAGAAGTACGTATCGCATATATTATTTAAGATGTGTTTTCTTAGTGATCGCGTTTATTCAAATCAGTGTTTTTTTAGATGCGTTCTCACGTTTCAGTTAAAAAAAAACTCATTGACATTAACATATTCGTTAAAAACTTATTGTTTTTTATATTTGTTTTTCAATAAAATAATTTCGCGGGTTAGCCATTTCGGGATTGTTCTGGTAGATCTACTTGCGGAGAGAGGTGGAAAAACGCTGAAACGAGCTGTCGCCGCGAAGAAGTTGCAAAAGTTTTCTCGGAAGAATCCCGGAGCGATTTAATTCCCCTTTCTCCAAGATTGCGAACTTGAGTTCGCGCCTTGAGTTCGGTTCGCCGCGACAACCCAGAATCCCCGCTGGGGGAGGGTCGTTTATTTATCGTCCGGCTAACCGAGCCAAGCGCGTCGTTCGTCCCCTGGTCGCGCGACGGGATTTTATCGCTGTGCTTCGACGCGCCACGCCAACGCCGAGCACCGGTTTCGATCGGAGGAACGAATGAGGCGAGAGCACGGCGGAAGAAAGAAATAAAGGAAGGAAACAAGCGAAACGGGCGTGCTGTTTGTAACGCGCACTCGAGAAAACACTGAGAGGAATCGTGTCGAAAATCATACCGCCGTGCTCGCGCCGTATCGACATTCGCGCGATTCGCTAGATTCCTCACAACACACCCTTTTTACTTTACTACGGTTCGACATCTCCTATGTTCTTTCGCCATCTTCCTCTCTTTCTCTCTCTCTTTCTCTCTTTTAGTATCGGGGTCGTGCACACGTTATATCGCGCGCGCTTCTTCCACGAACAAACCGGCAACGATCGTCCCGAACACGTGAAAGAGAAAGACCGCCCTCGAAAAACTGCGAACGAAGTTTCGCCGCGTGTCTCGCCGGTTCTTTCTGCTTTTCTCTTAGCTGGCAAAATGCAAATCCTCTCGCGAAAGAAGGCAAACGCAGCCTCTCAGCTCAACTGTTACCCGCTGCTGCCTGTCTGTCGGTGTCGAATTCGTATTCCTCGGAAAGATCGGAGACGCAGCCAGCAGTGCGCGATATCCTATACTCTTTCGGAATAAGACGGGAAACCGGTTCCATTCTCGCGCATTCGTACATCCGCTCCGAGTCTCTGACGCGCTTTGACTCGTCACACCGGCGGCGATGGCTTTCACGACGGAGGTACCGTTTGGATTTCAAAGAGTATCGCGTCGCGGCCTTCGTCGTCGTTCGAAAACGGTGTCACTTTTTTTTTTTTTTTTATCAAATTCCCAAGACAAAGAAGTTCTAGAATTACGGTTTCAGATAGAGAAAAATATTGAACAAGCGAAATTTTTACGGTAGCGAAATTTTCTTTTTTTTTTTTATTCTTTTTTTGTTTTTGGTTTTTTATTTGAATTTTGTAACAAGTTCGCGTTTTGCGCCGAAGGCACTTTTAACTTGAATTTTATATGCCACACCGTATTTTTTCGCTGTTCAAAATTGCATTGATGTTTTTTGAATAAATCTTTACCCGATGCTTGAGTTTTACATTCATCGTAGCGTGCATACAAGGTGTCAATACTAAAAAAAAATGAAAAAAAAAAAAAAAATACACGCATGAGCGAGGAATACGAAATTCGCGTACGCCGAGAGAGGGTGATTCGCAAAAAGGGAATTTTGCGCCACGAGTGGCGCGGATTACGTGGTCGCGTAGCCGCGAAAAAATCCCGACGGGAACGTGCGCGCGCGAGGAAGAGAAAAAAACAAAAAATTTCGCAACACCCATGCCGGCGCACATAAGGCGCGAGTAAAAAATGTACGACCCCGCCCGCACCCGTCCCGCATGCCAATGCGAAATCGCACGCGCCTCTACACACGGCCGCGTGCGTGCGTTGCATGATACTTGGAGCTATCTATAGTCTATCCTGTTTTCTCTTTGGCATATGTATATATACAAGCGCTATGTGTATTCCCGTTGTTTTTTTTTTTTTTTGTTTTGTTTTGTTTTGATTCTGTAGATGTGTGTTTTACGCGCGCGTGTGTTTCCGCCCGCTGGATAAATGCGCGGGTGGACAACTTGTGTGTGCGTAGGTTCTGCATCTGCGTAGATTTGGCTGTGATCGCATGATCGCATGATGATGATGATGATGATGATGGTGTATTGATGTAGCTGTCGGAAATGAATGAGTAACTAGCTGATTCTACGATGGGCGCCGGTCAACCAAAATTCGAATATTCAACGTAGTCACGTGATAATTCTCACGATAATTTTACTCGTATTAGATTATGCGCGGGGGGAACATGGGATTTGAAACGGTGACCTGAATTATAGTTAATGCTGGTGCTTGCATCAAAATTAATTAGCATATTGATTAATTATTATTTCATAAAGATAAAATCGCACAAATAAATATTTTGAAAGAGTTCGCGGCTCTATTATCGACAAACTGTCACAAACGGTGCAATTTCATCTGTAATATATTTATTTTTGCAATATATGTTGATTCAGCAAAAACAATCTTTTGTTTATTATATTTAGTCACGTGCGCGTCTTGTGTTCTCTTGGTTTTCAATTTTTTATTTATCTTGAGTACAATGATAATAATAACAAATTGATAATTGCTTTTGCGAACGCGATATATTTACATGAAAATACACGGGTGGTACTTGCCATAGTGCTATGCGATAATGCATAAGGGTAGCGCAAGTAACGAGCGGTCATGAATTATGATAACGTGGCTTCCGAGCATGAGGGAGGGTTAACCATAATGAGCTAAATTTCCTTTCTCTATTCGCGTTACAGCTAGAATTACGATCAAGGAGTCGATAATGAGACGCTAACCGCAGTTAATTACCCCGCTAGAAAGGCTTATTACAACTAAGTAAGGGGTAAGCGCGAAAAGTTTATATTCGCGCGTTTTTATACTCTTTCCCATTCTTTCTGCGAAATATCACGCGGGAAGTAAAATCTTTAAACGTTTACAATTTTGCTCTAATTTAATTCAGCAACGTTTATTGATAATGAAGTTTTGATAAATTAAATTGCTGACTCGAGCTGTGTGTTGAATTAAAAATAAAGTAAGTTTTTGTTTTCATATTTTTTAAGAGATCGTATAAATGCTCTTTTCTTTTATTTTTGGAAAACTGGTTCGAAAATTCATTAATTTGTATCGCGAAACTGTATTTTTCGTTTCGCTTATGAATATTCGGTCTTGCTTCATAATTATAACGCGGTGCAATCAAGCTCTGATTTGTTTGCTCCTGCGTGTGTGCAGGAGAAAAATTTAAAAAATAGGTTGCGCGCCGAACTGTTGTATATTTTTTTGTTTTGTTTTTGTTCACCGTGAAACATGTTGCCCCCACGCAAAATGTGCGCGACGACCGCGTATATCTCCGCGGAAACGCGTCTCGACGGGCTATTCCGGGTTGAGTTTTCATCCGGGGGCACCTGCGCCCGCGAAATATTGCGTACGTGTGTACAACGTCTGGCACATGCATGCCGCGTGCCGTAGACTTTCTAATAACTGCGTTGCTCGTATATTTCTGTTTTGAGTATGTGTGCGTGTGTGTATATGTGTCTTGCTGTACGCACCGAACGACGATACATCGTTATTTGTCTCGACCACCCCTCCCCGGGCAGGGGGAATATGCGCCCGCGATTGCACGCAGCACGCGTGTTGTGCACGAACATGTATGAATATATGTCGCGACGCGTTATATTATCGCGCACCTATCGTCTTTCGCGTTGTCTCCCCGCGAGCGCACGTACGAACACGTGTTCTCCGCGCGCGTTTGTACGTACGGGGTTGTGCCGCGCTACGGACCGCTGATGTCCCTCGGCCGTGACAGAAATTAATTGCTCGCTCGTTTATGCAGGCTGTCTCATCGCTACCGGAAAATGTTGTTTCAATAGCGGACCTTCGACGAACGCGCATTCATCTACCCGAATGCGTTTGATGAAGGGTCTAATTAATATTTGAACCGACCGCGTGCACAGTGTGCGTTTCACATACGACATACATATTGGCAGCAATATTCTTCGCTCCTTTGTAATTCAATTCGACGGGAATTGTATTTTAAAATTTTAATATTAAATAATAATTATTATAAGAGAGAGAAAGAAAATTAATTTTTTTTTTTCAGAATGGTTTCAATAATATAATTTAGGAATGTGTTATTTAAAATTGGTTTTTTGGAATGTGCACACACATTGACAATTTTCGTAAATTCGTTGAGAAATATTTGTCGAGATCTTTTGCAAGAATAAATTTTCTGTTAAATCTGTTTTCTTCCTCTCTTTCAATAACGACGAATGTGATGGAATTAAATTGCTTACGAAAAAAGATACAAACACACTTAAAACTAATTAAATATACGGTCACTATTCATCTTGTTCGCTTTTTCGTTAAATTAATTTACTTTGAACGTCAGTGGAACGGAATCAACTTAACCTAACTGCAGAAAGATAAAACTCTCTCGTTCGCTTAAAAATATTTCGAAATTGCCTTTTAGAACCTATTTTATCAGGGATTTTACCTTCGCGTCCGACAGCGGACTCTGTCCTCTAATAGCCTCCGGCACATCGCAAGTTTTCTACGTTACGTCGAACGAGCGCGTAAAAGTGTCCATAGACGAAAGATACGATCCCGAAGACCATCACGGAGATATTTCTTTACGGGATTCCGTTATCTTGAACACCGAGCATCTTCTTACGCGAAGAAGCAACTAATGAAAAATTTTCTCGCGCCACCGAAAACTCTTCATCCGCCTTATTACAGCGTCGAAGCAGCTGCGCGCGGTGATACGATAACGATAATACGGTAAAAAGTCCATTACATCCATTGTTGTTATCCGCTACGAAAACCATAAATCCGCGCAGAGCAACCCCGTACTTTCGCGTGCCGAGATCTCTTCCATGCACTATTTTCTCGCGCGAGTTTTCCTTTTTCCCGCGTCCGCCAGTCCACATACCTCTCTCTCGATCTTTCTTTGGGCTCTCTAACTTTGTCTGCCTCTCTGTCTTTCGTTCTCTCGTTCTCCTATCTACTTCTTTTTGCTGTTCCGCCACCTTCACACGTTCACCCGAGAGACCATACACCACATGTGTGCGGCTCTTCTTCTCTCTGACCTTTTCTTTTCTTATATCTCTTTCTTTATTTCTCTCTCTCTCTCTCTCTCTCTCTCTTTCTCTCTCTCTCTCTTTTTGTCTTCTCCCGTCGATCCCCCGTCAGTCCGTGGCACAAACCGACGAGTACCAAGAGACACTCTTGTGTCGAGGGCTCTCGCCGGAGAGAAAAGCCGTAACGACGTAACGCTCTTGGGACGTAACAGGGAGAGCCGGGTGAACCCGGACCGCCGGGACCACCCGGTCCGCCAGGAGCTGAGGGTCTTCCCGGACACGAGGGCAGACAGGGAATTCCGGGCGAGGTCGGCGCCCCAGGAGAAAAGGGCCCGCCCGGACCGATCGGGCCCGTCGGCCCGCCAGGCCCGTCAGGACTTTCGGGTCTCAAGGTGAGTAACGAGATTCGCACGAGAGAGATCGTATTATATATCCGATTACACACTCGGTCTGTGTCTTTGGAACTCGCCGTGGTGTCGAGTGTTGCCCGTTTTCTCAAAATGTAGATCGAGCTTTCCCCGGTCGACAATTGTATTCGTCTCTTTGTTGGTGTGACCGTTATCACGAAGTTGGAAACGGTGGATGAAACACGAACGAAAATAGAACAATGACGGAAACAACAGGAAAAAAAAATATAGAAAACAATAAAGTTCTCTTTATTGGTATTGATTAAACCTGGGTGGCAGTTACGAAAAATTTTTTACAGATGGAAAAAATAGAAAAACACGACATGTGGAAGGTAAACTTTTTTTCAATTTTTTTTTTTTTGTTGCAAACAAGTTGTTACAACACATACCATAAGTAAACTTTATTTTCACAACCGTTACATCGCGTCGCGCCGAAGGATAAATTGTTCCATGTTATTTCGTTCGTCGTTTAGACGCGCGAACGGTATGCGTAATGCGAAATTGGAACTTAACTTTATTTACCTTGATCAGCATTATGAAGCACGGTTTCATGTATTATCGTGGCTTGCGCGTTTCGAAATATCAAACGCTCAATATCGCGCTCAAAATTCCGCAGGGAGTGATTTAATATTACGAATATATCACCGCAGCTATAACCGCATTATTCGCGGAATAATGTAATGATTACGGTGCCGCGGCGCTTTCAAGTGCGCGGTTTGAAACAAATCCGACTAATCTCGTGGGATTTTCAGAGTTCCCTGCAATTTTAACGGCATTCTCACAATCTCGCTTAATCACAAGCGATGAATTTTTCAATACAAAACTTTTGCCTTGGGTTTGTTTTGCATTAAAGTTTCTCCGGCCAACACGTTTGTTTTTCACCAGATTGCTCGTGTATGTATACAAGTAGATGTGTGTGTGTGAAGCGTGGTGTTATGTGTACGTATACGAGTGCTCACGCTCGGAAAGATGCAACGTTACATGGATATTATGCACTTAACGTATCATACATATCTTTCAAAAGAGGTTACACAAACGATAATTTATTAATAGAGTACAACAGAGCGATTACAGAATAATAGAGTATTAATTACGTCCAGCGCACACGTTGTTAATTTAATCTAACTATAATTAATTGCATTCAGAAGCGTTGTTTCTACATATTAATTATCGAAGCATTTAACAATAAACTTGTCGTGATATAAAAAATAAAATGTTATTCATTTAACGAGGTTGTTCTTTTAATCAACGTGTTGCGCAAAAAAAAAACGATTTTATTGTGTAGGAAAAAAATTACTTATTACTTTATTCGAGAGAGAAAGAAAAATGAATTTTGTGAGAATTTCGAAACTTTCAAGCTTTCGCAGAAGTGCGATAAAAGATGTGCAGATCATCGAAAGTTTATTTTCAACAGGGTGACAAGGGTGATAGAGGCGATCGCGGCTTTACGACGAACTTCAAGGGCGAGCAGTTCCCCAGCGGAGTATTCGAAGGCCCACCTGGTCCACCAGGACCTCCTGGTAAGCATACAAACGAGATAATCTGCATATGAGATAAAGATTAAACATTAAACGTCAATTACAATTCTCGCGAGAACAACACGAGAACAACATTGCAGTAATTTTTTACGAATCTTCTATGCAAATTATGCTCGTTTCGTTGATTTAACTTATTTGACTCGAGAGAGTGTTCTATGTGTGTGTTGTTCACATACAATATTTTAGTACATAAAAAAATTACGAGAAGCTATTATATCTGTTTGCAGACATGTTAAAATTTTTGCGTTTTTAAAAGTTTATTTTTAACGAAGTATTTTATATTGTTTATATTTTTATTATATCTTCAATAACGTTTTTCAATGTTTTTTTTAATTGTCTAATATTTTTTTTTAATTTTTTCCTACAATTCTATTTTATATTTACTCCTAGACGTATTACTTCGACTCGGTATGTGATCAGATCCAACTCTATAATTTTCTACCCTCCGATTCTTTCGCGATTGAGAAAAGCCATTGAGAAATCATTAATATTTGTGATCCACACGAGAGGGATTAAGTCGGTCGTACGCGAGATTACTCGAGTCGGAACGCGGATAGCATTCATCCGTGAATCGATTATCTCCGCGAGCCGACGCGTCGACGTGACTTCAGGCGAAGAAAACGCGGAAATGTTTGACGAGGAAATCTCGACTTGAATGATCGTGCAAGTTCCTCGAGAGAGGATCGAGAGGCGATCGTGTGCGGTGGGCGTACACGTCGAGTGTATGCCTCGCTTGTGTAGTAATGTATGCGGCCGTGAGCAAATCTTTCTTTACCATTCGCGAGCCTCCTTCTTTTTTTCTATACGCAACCTCGCGCGGGTCGGCCATTAACCCTTCGGAAGTTGAGCGTCCTCGTGGAGGCACTTGTGCCCAAAAAAAAAAAGAAAAAGAACCGCAGTCACACACAGCAGCGACGTCTTGTAAAATCGCGCGCGTGAATTCGTTGAGAAAAAATTGCGCAAAAAAGTCAAGCACGAAGAAAATTGGAAAAATGTTCCTTCTTGTTTGTTTTTGTTCGAAACTTCGTGATAAACAAAAATTGAAGAAAAGGAGAACGAACAATCGTAGACGCGTTGCTAAAATGTATTAAATTTAGAGGAAGAAAGTCGCGCGCGATAAATAAAAATAAATTTCAAGTTTTACCGAGAAGTTCACACGGAGAAAAGTAAATCTTTCTCTTCGCCTAAAATATAAAGGCGAAGCGTCAAATTTTATAATTCAGAAAACTTAATGCCAACATCGGAGAACTGTGCAACCAATGTAGAATTTCCATAAAATATTCGCGGAGGAAAAATCGCTTTCCGAGTGCAACCGTGAATCTGTAAACCGTGGGAGTTGTCACGACAATTCTCTGAGATACTCCGCGCATAAAAGATTCATCTCTGTTTAAAGTTACAAGACAAGAGGTATCACGTGCAACGTTTGTCGTGAATAGTGCACAAGGGGTAATAAATGCACGGTTCTCTCGAAGTGCGCGGCGTTCGTGAGAGAGAGAGAGAGAGAGAGAGGAAGTGCGCGGTAGCTCGAGAGCAGCATCATCTCGTCACGGAATAAGACGGGGAGGGAGGGAGGGACCGGCTGCTATTGAAAAAAAAACTCTCTTCCGACCCTCCGCGCCGCCAATATCTCACGACTCGGTCGTTCGTCAACGTTCGTACGCCTGCCCACCTCGCAACGTGGCGAGAAAATGATTTACGATCGCGAACGTATTCTGAATCCGATCCCGACTACTCGTAAACGACCGTTTACAGCGCGCCGTGTTTGACCGTGATGTCGGATATTGGCAAAAGCGTCGCGAATATTAGTTACTGCCGCGCGCAGCCATGATTGATCCGCCCAGACGAACTCCGTGATTATGATCGAGTAAAAGTTAGGTGTAGTAGTGAGATATATAACGGCGAGAGAGAGCACGCGAAACAAAGTTGCACACGCTCATTACGGAACTTCGACTGTGCTCTCGAGACAGATTGTTAAAAAATTTATAGTTCATTGAAAATTATACAAGAACACGAAATTACACGACGGGAAGTGATTAAGTAACTTCTTGAGGATAAACTTTTATTTCTTAATCAAAGACAAACATATAAAAACGATAAAAAAAAAAAAAAAGAAGATACAAATCAACAAGGATTTTTTTGAGAAGGGATTTGAGTTGAAAAAACATCCGTTTAGCTTCTCTTTTTGCGCGGGAACGGATTTGAATTCGGGAGGCTTTACCGCGTCGATCCGTTTCTTTTTCTCTCGTGCGGGAAAATAATTTGGCATTGATGATAACAGAACGCCGTCGATATCTCGTGTCAAAGACAACGTCATCGTGAGTAATACTGCGAGAGTGGTACCGCATCCGACAGAACGAAATTACGTATACGCTAATCCGTCTTCATACCGTTGTGCGCGACGACAGCGAGAGCAACTAAGGACGAGGTAATGCCGTTTCCGGGCATTATACATGCGCAGCCGGCAGAATTAATTTACCCACATACAAATTCGTCCCGCAATTTCACGGCACGGAATTGCTACTGGTGTAGACGCGCCGCTGTCGATACTACGCGACGACGACAACAACGACGTCGCATTTTAGGAATTACAACGTGCGCGCATACACCGCAATTGCCTCTCACTCTCTCGCGCGTTATTCGCACACGTGAATCTTTCGCTTTGCGAAATTTTTTTTCTTTTTTTTTTTTTGCTAAGTTCGTAAAAATCACCTCAATAGCAAAACTGCACGCAAAATGTGGAGAAATTTTGTTTTGTTTTTTATTTAAAAAATTGCGTTAATTTTACAAGCACCGCGTTATATATTTTTTTTTTTTTTTTATTAAATTTCTCTAAATTTAAAACACGTCGTGTGACGAACGTGAATAAATGTCACATTATATTTGTCAGATAGTGTAAATGTATGTGGAAATTAATTGCGAGCAAATGTAATTTTATTTCATTACTGGTACAGGAAGAGGAAGGAAGGAAATGTTAGGCAGATATACAACGCGGTTGTTTCCTTGCCGTGTGTGACAGAGCAACATTGATCGTTCTCGTTCGAACATATATCATCTTCTTTCTAGGTGTCAGTTGCGTCTGTCAGTGTGGATCGTAGACACGATAAATCAGAATTTTTATTGGTAGAAAATGTGTCAGCGATATGATTGGAAGCGCGCGTCGATGAAAATGAACTTTTAATCCGCGACGACGCTTGACAGACCATCATTCTAATTCTTTCGGCCGTTCAATCTCGATCAGCACCACTACGTTTAACGCGTTTTCAAAAGTTTGACCGCGTTGCTCGAGGATGTTTTTTTTTTTTTTTTACAACGTTCCGAATTCGCTTGCATTCTCTCGATGTCATCGACACGATCCGAAATAAACTTCCGTAAACGTCAATCACGCGATCCGTCGAAAAAAAAAAACGCCACCTCTGACGTTCGGATACTTGAGAGGATCTTCCGAGAACACCGCCGGGATTCCGGAGATCCCGCGTGTGGCTCGTTCGCGTGCGGATTCGCGCGACACGCCGCGCGCGTGTTGCGAGCGAAACGCACGAGCGAGTCAAGCGTGGTGTGCGGGCGCCATGTTTCATCTTATATGCATGGCACGCAGGGCCCCAGGGCGAGAAAGGAGAACTGGGCCCGACGGGACCGCCCGGCCTGCCAGGCGAGAAGGGTGCTCGGGGAAAGCCAGGGAAGAGGGTAAGCTTCAGCGAGGTCCTCCGACCGCCGCCAATCGTCGACCAAAAACAACTCCGTACGACGATCCGTTCCTCTCTCTCTCTCTCTCTCCCTACAACTGTCATCGCCCCGTCCATTCGTCCGTCTGTTCGTCCATTCGATCAATCCTGTTATCCGTTGATTGAATCCGAACGTGCAGGAAACAGAAAGAAATTAAAAAAAAAAAGAAGAAAAAAAGGAGATTGGTCCATTCAATCTCTTCCTCGATGTGTCCCGTATATTCCTCCTGACGATCCCGTATATCCCTCCCTCTCTAGATCGACATCCCGTCGTATCGTATGCATCCCCGCACGTCGGTGCACGTTCTCTTGCATGCTAGGGAAAAAACGTAGTATAGCCGCAGCACTTATAACGTTTCACGAACGTCGGATAATCGCATGCCCCTTAACTTGAATGTCATCTATCTGAATCTCTCGTGTATATATAGACGCTCACAGCATGACGTAATAAATTGTAGCCTTCTTCCGTGTGGGTATATATACAGTCTGTTTTTACAACAGCGTGTCACAACGTGTCTTGCCTGGTATCTATATCTACCATACATACCAGACCAGAGTTTGGAGTCTCCAGTGAGACCTTACAACGCGCGCAACCGCGGTTACTTCCCCCCCGATTTGCCTGATTTGATATTCCCGATTATATCGTTTCTAATTTCGCGTTTTAATTGAAAGAGCGGATCTCTCGCTCTCTCAACGTTTACATTTCGATTTTATCGCGTCTCCGTCTTTCTCTCCCTTCCTCTATCTCTTTGCTCGACCATGTATATATTTAATTTTGAGAATATTAATCAATCCTAGTTTGAAGAAGTAATTAAGAATTAATCAATCTTTTATTTTCGCGCTAATAACGTGAGAATTATCGTCGGCTAATCGTCGTCGTTAATCATCTTCGCGAATATAAACCTCAAGTTTCGTTTATAATTTCGGCCAGAAAAAAATAAATAAATAAATAAATTGCGGGAAAAAAACAATGTTGTCGTGCCATTTGCGAAACAATCGTCGCTTAATTTGTAAATTTGCGCGAGAAAGGCTCTTTCGCTTGTCGCGACTCGCAAAAATGTGTAAATATAATATACGTTTCGGAATTGGCGGAATCGCTGTAAAAAGAGAAGCGCCGATAAAGAGAGCGTTGACATTTCCGATATATCGTGATAAAAACAAAACAAAAAAAAAATTATCGCATGAAGTTATATGACGCGTTATTTCACACGATCGAAAAATCCTCTCACGGTGTTCCAATCATCAATCTTCCACATTTTTATCGATTAAATAACTTTCCGCGGTCCCGGAGAATAACGCTATAATTCTCCCTTCAGCGTGAAAATGTCCGACGTCTTTTTTTTTTTTTTTTTTTTTTGTCCCTTCTGTGCCGCCTTCCTTCTTGGTTTCTTTCGCCCTACTTTCGTGCAACGCCTCGCGCGCTTTCCCACGGAATATTAGATTTTGTAATCCCCGAGATCTCTTCCCTTCCCCTCCCTCCCGGAAAAAACGAGCGCGACTTGGTCGCGCGCCGGGGTGAAAAACGCTTTTTAGCCGCGCGAGAGGCAGCAGCACGCGCGCACGGCACTCCTCACGCAGTCACGCGAGCATGAGCACGTTATACATCACGCCGTCACACCTGCATCGTCGAATAAACGGCAACTGAACAAGAGCATCGTCACTTGGACGGCTACGGGCCGAGGAAAGTTCCCCGCCGTAGGGCGACGTGTAATCTCGCTTGTCGAAAGTATTTGCGCTCCCGTCTTCTTGCATTAGCATAACGCGATAGAGTGTATAAACGCAATAGTACACGCGATATTAAGCGAGAAAGGGACGAGGTACGTAACGGAAAACATTTTATCCGTTAGTTGGAAAATCACGCATAAAAAGAACGAGAGATTTGTTTCAATTTTAATGTGCGCGTGAGTTTTATATCGCCGCGCCAAAACTAATTAATTTTTCTTCAATTATTTACGGAAGTTTTCAAAGAAACATTAAAAAAAAATATCTCAAAACCGTGATTTGTTATTTTATTTCTACAAACATCGGATAAACATCTGACAGACGAAATTTGTTTCAAAAATAAAGATAGATTTGGAATAATTTTCGCACAATAATGTTACTTACGGCCGACAACGGCGGTTCGTTGTTACGTCGCAATTGCCGTCGCTCTCGTAGCTGCATTTGATTCGCGAGGGAGAAACAGCACGCGCGCTTAGTACACACATTTTTTTCCGCGCGTATAGTATAATAGTTTTCCGCGCTTTTTATCGGAAACTTTCCTCGCGCGCTCGTATCTGTCCTCGGAATTGCATTTTTACGTATCTCGAGCGACTCGTCGGGACTCCCGTGTGTCCCCGCGATGTGAAAGAAGAAAAAATGCAAAGAAAGAGAAGAGAAAGAAAAAAAAATTTAATTTAAAGTAGAGCAAACAGGAACGCGTAAAAAGAGAAAGTAGATGGAAAAAAACCAAAAGAAACGTTGGTGGCAGCAAATAACACGTATATATAAAATACATAACGGATATTGTGTGATATATCCGAGGCTTCCCCCCTCGGTGTGTTTCTCACTTCTCACCCCCGCCCTTGTGAAACTATTTTTTGTTTTTTTTTTTTTTTTTACTCTACCCTCTTCATCCCTGTTCGTCTATGCGCGGACGTCGAGGCGTCGATCGTCTCCACATTTATACCAACCGGCACCAGGCTCGCGAACAGCCAGGCTGGCGTGAACTCGAAGCTGGCTGGCTGGCAAACAAACAAGCAAGCAAGCAAGCAAGCAAGCAAGCAGGGGGTGGCGGGCTTAAGCGGCCAAATTACACGCCTACGCGCGCCTAACACCCGTAACTACCTAAGAGCTTGGCGTGCGACTGTGTACTACTCTTTCGGGTCCACCGTAAGTATACTCGTACATCTGCCGAGCGATCGTAACTTTCGGCACATTACCTACGGCCAAGCTGCAAACGGCGACGCACGTGCGCGCATCCTCGAAATATCCTTTCGCGCGCGGAAACACGAGAAAATAATAAAAAAAAAAAAAAACGAAACTCTCGCGGACGTGTGTGTCTGCCTCGACTTGTTCCAAACGGAGATTGAGTGCACTTAAGGGCGTCGAAAACTGCGTGTGAAATTTTTAGCGCGTTTCGACACTTGGATACGATAATTGATTACCCGTTTGGCACGTGCGCACACGTTAACTTTCTGATGAAACGAAACACGTAATTGCGTTAGTCATCACCGATATGTAATCACCGGTGGTATTTAACGTGTAAACTTCTTGTGAGTTTGAATTCGTGGATTTAATCGATATATTGATCGCTTCGGTTTGCGAGAAAGCCGTCGTTGAAGCGAATGAATTCAGTATTTTCGCGAACAAAAATCTACTCGAAGAAGAGAGTCTCTCTCTTTTTTTTATAAGTCATATTTCACGCGGCCAAGTGTCGTTCTTATGAAGGGACGTCGTTTTCTCTGAAGCCTCATTATAAATATACATGATACATGTATTAATCTGCGAGAGCCTGTGTTTAATGAATATTTAATGAGCAAATATACATTTCTTGCTGTGACGTGCAAAGTCTGTTCATTTCGCATATATACATGTGTCGAGGGCGAAGCACTCTATTCCCATTTAGAACTTAATTAAGCTCTTCCCGCAATTTCTTGAATATTTTATATTCGGCGAATGTACATTCGGCCGCGCGAATTTTTATTGCGAGATGGTTAATAGGTATATGTATATGAAATCACGTTTGTAATAGAGTTTTGTTAATGAGGTTTGGTCGCTCTCTAATGAACGAACAAGAGGAGGAAACGTTTGTACTTGCGAATTTTACACCTTCGAGTATAAAAAAAAAAAAAAAAAAGTACACGTTCGAACGCGCAAAAGACAGTAAATTGAATAAAATAAAATTGCAATTTAAAGTTGAATATATATATATCAAATTTTAATTTCTCACATATTTTACTGCGTAGAAAAAACCCCCCTCGTTTTATACTCCGGGAAAAGTTTAGCGGAGATAAATGCCACTGCAGTTGATGACTTTCGCAGTTTCCGCTTCCCTCCCGGGGAATAATTTCGCAAACACCAACAGAAAGTGTTTGCAGAGAACGGGATTAAACGCGAAATGTATGTAATCTTGTAATGCGCGGCGCCGTGTGCGCGCGGCGTTACGAGCCCCGAGAATTAGTCTTCGGGAACAACTTTGGCGCGGTTTCGTCGGTCGAACCGCGAACGATAAACTCGCATTGCCCGCTCGCGATGCTTATATCCCCGCGATGCACCGAACCGTAAAATTCGCCACTCGACCACGAAGCAAGTTCGCTCTGGCAACTTCGCCCGTCCGTTCGATTTGCCTCGCTAACGAGACGCGGACCCGTTCCTATATTTGTTCCCCGGATGCGCCGCGTGCGTCCCGATTGCAAAGTCGCGGCCAAGTGTGCGTACAAACTAACGTGTATACAGGGTGCGCCGAACCAATCCCAAATAAACCCAAAATTGATTATTTAACAATTTCGATTTCTAGATTGTCTCCCTCTCCCTCAAAGATAAAATCTTTGCAGTAAATTTAAATCAACATTCACGCACACAAAACTGAAAAAAAGAACCGATAGAGTTTTGACAAGAATCGTTGAGAATTTATTGTATCTTCCTAGAGATATGTTTGTCAAATAAAAACAAATTTCTTTCCAGATTTGCTGGAGAGTATATATATCGGAAAAATATTTTCGGTGATTGGTCTGAGCTGCCCTGTAGATTCAGCAAATTTACCACTCTCCCTTTTGGGATAACATCAGGGGCGATATCGATCGCTTTTGACAGTCGTGTATCTGTAAGCCGCGTGCGAGTGTGTTGTTGTGTAGTTACGGTTAGTCAGTAGTGATCCTCGGCGTGTAGTGTACCGTAGCTTGTGTAACTAATTTGTGTTTATGTAGCGAGTAACACCACACCCCACTACTTCTCCCCCGTGTGTGTTGGTTCCGATTCACTAATCACTAATAACCACTACTACTCCCGGCTTGTTGTTGTGTTGAGGCTCTCGCAACCCTATCGACCGGCGATCGCAAGCGCCTGCAGCCTATCGCGTAAGTATCAAAGACTTGTCAAAGTATGTGTAGCTTACTCTGTCGCGACCATGGCGTCTCTCTCACGCTCGATCGCTCGCGATATTAATTTTTGTCTATTTTTATTTTAATGTACTATTTAATCATCATTTTTTCTGTGTCTCTCTCTCTCTCTCTCTCTCTCTCTCTTTCTCTCTCTTTCTCCATCTCCTGTGTGTTCGCCTTCTCTTTTTCTCTCTTTCGCTGTTTTATCTCGCGTTTTCCGTTGACTTATTAACGGAAACCGAATTATAAATTTGTTATTTCGACAAAGAACTAAATTTTTTTATTTAAATTGTGCGTTAAAATGTATTTATTTGATTTGATTTGTTAATCAATGCGCGAAACAAATTAATGTAAATTAATTGTCTTGAGTGCCACTTAACAAACGCTTCAAAATGTTTGTTAATCATTATGTGTTGCGTGTTCTTCAATGGTGCAATCGAAACAAAGGAGAGCTGTCGTGAAAAATATACGAAATTGCCAATCGGTGGTAAGGAGAAAATTTATGAGACGTCTTTTCGCGAACAAAAAAGAAATCCTGTTAGAGGCGCCCAGGAGAACTTGACTCTACAGATTGTAGTTATGAGAATAGAGACTCGTAAATCACGAGTAACTCTATCGTAAGAGCGTAAGAGAGAAAGAGAGATACTAGTAGTCCACAATTTTCTACTAAATTTGAGCCCTCTAACTAGCCTCCCTTAGTCGCATGAGTATTAGTAGTCGTTGTCTACGTCACAAAGCAAACATTTTGTTGTAGATTACAAAAGTGTATTTTTAATTGTATAGAAAACAAATTTTTTAGCTGAACGATCTTGACGCCTGTAAACACGTCGAAGAAATTCTAATTTACATTTACTTGCGCATTAAAATTTATCAAGTTATCGCGCAGATGACGAATGCGAGGCGTCAAGATCGATCGATATCATCGACGTAGATCTCGAAACACATCCTCCCTTCCTCCTCTCCCTCCTCTCTGAAAAAAAAAAGAAACACATTAACGCTTCATCATCAGAAGCAAAGAAATAAAATTGACAGCGTACATGGAGGACCTGGTTGGATCTGACCTTGCAGTGTCATTGTAGGGTTTCAAGGGTGAGAGCAGTGTGTCGTTGGCGAGGGGTGCTCCCGGCCTGCCGGGTCTGAAGGGTGAGCCCGGCGAACGGGGTTACCGGGGCGAAAAAGGCGCCAAGGGAGACTCGGGTTCACCAGGTAGATTATTACGAAAAGCCACCCCTATCGCGGGAATTCGGCAGGAAAAGTGGAGGATAAGCGCCGAAAAGAAACGATCGCGTCCACCCTATCTAATCCGTGACCGAGACGTGGATCTTCTATCCGGCGCACGTCTCATCGTTCTTCGTACCTTCAATCATGTCTATCCGCACTCATGCGAAAAAAATCGGAAAATAACCGGGATTTATTTGATTTTTTTTTTCACAGGGCGACAATAATAAAAATAACTACATTTTTTTTCACAAAATAACATCGAGTGGTTAATGTTGTTTAAAATTTATTTTTTCTTTTCTTTATTATTATTATTTTTTAATTGCTTTATTTTTGTTCAATTGCATCAGTTTCTCGAAGAGTTAAGAAAAGAGTATCGTGCGATTTACCTCAGCAACACGTTTTCCGAACATATTTTTGAACGTACTTTTTTGTATGCGTTTGAAAGAGAATAAGATTTTATATAAATAGTAGTTTTATAAATAATTTCAAGTGTGAAATGCTCCAATTCCCTTATCGGATTGTGCGAAAATTCAGAAACCGAGCGATGCGGGCGAGATCACAGTTCGAGTTCCTTTGACCTGCTTAATTTTCGCGAATATGTAATGGCAAAACGATTCGGGAAGTTTTCTCTCGCAAAACTTGAAAACGGGTCTTGCCCTTAGGGGATAAGAAATCGTGCCAGTCTTTCAATTTCTTTTTCGAATGTAGGGAATGGTGTAGCGTAACACTTCCGCCAACTTCGTCTTTCCGAGGAAAAATTTTTAATCGAAAGGTAATAACGCGTCTAGCGCGCCCGATACGGAAGTTTAATATTACTCCGCTTCGTATATAATCAATTGAAAATTTAATTAAACGTTTCCGTTTCTCTCCTGAAAGGGACCGTCGGACAATCGATACTTATTGTTGCCATGTCGTCGTATTATCAATGCTGTTTAATGTAAGAAACAGATACTTTAAAATATTATCTACGCGTGAGTTTTTCGATAAACACGTATTTTTCTGCGAAATATTAATTAAGAAAAAAAGAAAGTAATAAATATATTTCTCATTGCGCGATAGATATTTCGAGCGCACAAGAATAGCTTCTTATAAAAGATACTATTATATATATATGTTCGCATTATATTCTTATCACCGTGACAAGAATATTTGTTTTAAAAAAAAGTAGCTGTTTATTCGGTTTTTAGAGGCAGTTTAAGAAACGCCCGCGCGCTATGAGATATTTAAAGATAATTCTCGATATACTTAGATGGACAATAAACATCGAGTATCTGCTGGTCTCTCGGGTGAGTCGTTCTTTTTCGCGAAGGCGGGATAAACACGCCGGAAGTATTCCCGGCACGGAGGAACGCTCCGGGGCGAAATGAGAAGTCGGGGAGCAAAGAAACGACCGACGTAGGATAGATAAAGGGAAGGCGAAGTGGGCAGAAGGGAGTTATCCTTGTGCCACGCGCGCGTTTAACAGAATTGCGGGGCGCGTCATCAATCGCGCGCGCGCGCGCGCGCTCGAACGCGCGAATTAATCTAACTTCTTGGCGAACGGAAGAACGCGCGTCGAACCAAAGCGACGGGCTCTCACGGTCCGCAAATTCGCTTTCAGGGCCCAAGGGAGATATGGGACCGCCGGGCTTGCCGGGTTTCAACGGAACCGAAGGCATCGCCGGTATCCAAGGACCTCCCGGATTACCGGTAAGTAGAACGCAAATGAGAAATGTTCCCCTATTCCAAAATCCCTTCTTGCTTCCGATGTAATATTGGGGAAATACCGCGCTGTGTGCACCACGTGTGTTTTATACAAAAGGCGGCGAGAATTTAATATCTCCCGGTCGCCTTTTGCAATAATGTCACCGGAGTGTTTTACGTTGTAAATATTGTGAATCAATTTGAGAATGAAAATGCAAAGAAAAGAATTTTATACAACACACACGTGTGTTTTCGATAATGTGTTACGAGAGAGTTTTACACTCGCGTTTTATTCGACACATTTCTCGATATGCGAGAACTAAACGTAATATAATTAATGTGTTGAATTTAATTAAAGTGCATTGTGCTACGTGACATTCATATAGTTTTCACAGAGTTGGGAGAGAAGTTTCACGCATGTGTCTGTCTCTTCAGGGAATTGCCGGACCCAAAGGTGAGAAAGGCGAGTACGGTGACATCGGTCCCCCCGGTCTTATGGGACCTCCAGGTCTGCCCGGCCCACCGGTACGTTACGACCCTAAACACCATGTGGCTTTTCTAAACGACTCTTCCTTATCGTAAATATTGTCTGTCTTATGCGATTCTTCCTGTCAACAGGGCTATCCCGGACTGAAAGGCGAGAAGGGAGAGAAAGGTGAATCGGTGAGTGTGTGTGTGAGTCCGTACCGGAGTTGCACATTTGTCGAATTACATTTCATTGTTTCGAGAACAATAGGCGCAACTGACAATCAATTTGTCAAATAAGATACTGTGAGAGAGAATATTGCACAGACAATTTAAGCATAGTAAAATAACAAAAAATATATTAAAACAATAAAACGATGTAATATAAAAATTTTTTAACAATTTTAATATATTGCCATTTATATTATTTACGTAAAAATAACAACTATATTATTTAATTAAATAGTAATATACAATATAATTACTATTTATATTGTATTATTTTTATAGTCGGTAACAATATGTTAAAATAACTCTTACACAAAATCTTTACATATAAATTACAATATTATTATACAATATTATTTATATAAATGACTATTTTCACTTGCGATTATATTGCTTGATAATGTAATATGATGATGGATACCGTATTCAATTTTTGACGCACAGGAAATGCGATCTCATCAAAGCAATATCTAAGAGAAATTAATTTCACTCGCACGATCAAATAAATTTAAGCATGGCTCTCTATTGAAGAATAGGACGGTATATAAAAGCAGTATATTATTTGTATATATATAGATATATATATATATATATATATAATATATATATTATATGTATCTATTTATTATATAATAAACGATTCGATGAACGCAGCTGTCGCAGTTTCCGATCGATCGCGAGAGACTGTCTTCTCCGGTGCTGTGTTTTCGTATCACAATAGCGCGCGCTTCTCTTTCTCGGCGATCGATCGGCGCGATCGCGATAGCATAGCGAGAAAACTGCGTTCTCGACGGATGTGCGTCGGACACAATCTGACGATAAAAATGAATTTCTTTTCATGTCGCGACAACGGGGTCCTTTCCATCCGTAGAAGTACAAAAAGCTCAGACGAAGACAGGTACGTGAAACTTCATGTCTAAGATTTCTCTTCGCGTTCCGCTTCTCTCGGTCGCGCGACAAAAGAATCGCTCGATCGAGGAAAAGGGATGAGCGCGAGGAGTAACTCTCGTTAGTAATAAACTTCGAATATACATTATTCGTGTAACGTGATATTGCCGCACGTGTGAACACATTGGCGTGTTTGTTCGCAGGGAGACGGCACGTTCGAGATGAACAACGGCGAAGTGGTAAGTTATATCTCTCGGATCTAAACGCACGATCTCACGGATATACTCGGCTCATAGTCGCATCTATAGACACATGGAAATATTCAATATCTAAAAAATAACACACAATGGCGATTTGTTTCCTGTTTGCTTTCCGCACGAGGAAACTCAAAGTTTCCGGATTATGTCACCGATGTTTTGCACAGCCGCGTATTACGAAGTTATCGCAATTCTTCGCGATGAGTTTTACGAATATTAAGCAAAATATCGCCTGAATTTTTTGTAGACCAAACTCTGCTTTTATTTATTTATTTTTTTTTTTTTTCATTTTTTTTGTACACGTTTGAATTAACACACGTAACGTATTTTCCTGACAATTGTAATTATTCGATTAGACTATTAGATTAGTTTTTTAGAATTTAGAGTTTTGTGTGTATCTTTTTTTTTCGTGCGAAATTCTCGGGAAAATATTTTTTCCGCTATTGTCGTTTTTTTTAATCCAGTGTGACAATTGTCGATGCGTACAGATAATGGGCCCGCCCGGACCTCCAGGACCTGCCGGCACTCCCGGACTGCAAGGCCCACCCGGGATCAAGGGTGACAGAGGACACGACGGCGCCAAAGGCGATCCTGTCAGTAACTATTATCCATCCATTGTTCGCGTACCGTATGAAATACCGTGTAAAAGCACAGTTACAGTCGCGTTTCCCCCGCGCGCGTGTCCGCGCAACGGAAAACGAATATCGATTTCTCTCTTGTCGGAACCGCAAATATTGAATAACGGAATCGATCCGTTCGCGTCGTGTGAAATATCACACGCGAAATCATTGCGAAAATTTCCTCGTTTCGTTACAACATCTTTTTTTTTTTTTTTTACGCGCGCGCGCCGCATTTTTGTCATTAATGTTGAATTTGGTTAAAAAAAAAAAAAAAAAAAAAAACGCGACCGCTACATCTCGTTTATGTCCGCAAAAACAAAGGGTGTTATCTTTTTTAGCGTTATTAGTTTACCTCGTACTGCGGTAGAAAAACAAAAAAAAATTTTCAGCGTGGAAACTAACGGGGAAAACAAAATTCGTTCTTTTCGCGATATTTTATTTTTCGGAAATATATTCCTCTGACGTCTCGTGCTTTTTAATAAATTGAATGCGTGTAAATTTAATTAACTCCGAATAATTAACTAAAGATGCTCTCGTTACATTTTATCTAATTGCGAGATAAGCCTGAAAAGGCAGCAAAGAGATGCGCGCGCGACGCGGTTGTTTGAGTGCACTTCGGCAAAGAAAGACGCCGCGTTCTCGCGGATGCGACTCTCGAGGCGTGAAGCTATTCACGTCGGTGATCTTTGAGAGATCACCTTTTCGCGTGCGCGACACACGGTCGCGATGTGGACGAGGCCCTCGCCGTTCTCACGTGGCGTTTCTTTCTTTTTTCACGTTGCAGGGAGAAAAGGGTGCCAAAGGGGATCCTGGTCCGATGGGACTGCCCGTACGTATTTTCTCTCCAGATTACACACGCTCGCACACACGCATACACGTAGCTTTTTAAGCACGCTCTTAAGTAAAGTCGCGGATACCAGAACGCACAGAGACAGACCGGACGCGAAAGAAAGTCCTGTGTAATTCTGTCCCTTCGCTTTTCCCGCAAAAAATTTCGATTGAACTTGAACATATAGTGTAGTGTTGTTATTCCTTTCGGTCCTTTTTCCATCGTAAATGTTTTAAGTGTTTTTTTTTTTTTTTTTTTTTAAGAGAAAAGAAACAAGAGAAAAACTATTTAAAAAACTAAATGCAGTGTGTATTATTTTTGCATTTATTACAAAAAAAAAAACGTTGATCGATGAGTTCTTTTCGTTCTCTAATATTTAACTATAAAAGACGATTGTTTTGAATGAATTGTTTTCTCAATAAAATTTGCACACGCGGACCGAAAGGCTATATAGAGCACTCTAGCACGTGGCATAATTAACGAATTGGACTTGATCGCCAGAAAGCAAAGAATACACGAGAAAGAAAGACGGGAAGAGAGGCGTGCGCAAAGTGTACGAAGGTATACACAAAATATCTGCATGATAAGACATAAATACAAAAATGCTGCATATCGTTCTTCTTCCGAGCGACAAAGAAGCGCGCGCTTCACCACCACCACCACCACCACCACCACCTGCGAGACCTCAAAAATACGGAATCGCCAAACCGTGTCGAATCGGCGGCGAGACATGCTGATGAGCGTTCTGTCTATCTAATTTCAGGGCCCCATGGGACTGAGGGGAGAGTCCGGAAAACCCGGGGATGCCGGGAAACCTGGCGCCATGGTAAGAACGCGGACCTTCCGCTCCTAACGTCGTCGTTACTTGGCGTCGCCGTCGCGGAATTCGCTGATAAGCCGATAAAGTGCGTTTACACAATTCGCGCAGCCTGGCGGAACGACCTCTCGATCGCCTCTCGAGTTACTTCTGCGTGTCTCTGCGTGTACATATATTCATACATACATAGAAGGGAAAGTGACGGACGTGTAATGGTAGTTTATTATTATCGTCGAGAGAGGGGCGATTCGAGAGGAGACGAGCAAAAATATTCGCGCGCAAAGATAGTCGCTGCGACTATCGTTAGATCGATAGAGAATTGCATTCGTTGCGAAGCGTTAAATCCCACCCAAAACAATCGGCTGCTGGACCTCCGCAGATTGCTGTCATCTTCTTCGCGAAGCGGTTTTTTCGAAGCGAGTATCATCGATCGCAACCGAGATCGCGTCACATGCACGACATTAAATCCAACACAACCGTCGGATTAAGATGTTTCTTAAATATGGAGGCGCGACATTTCCGCCGAGATCGCGGAATCTTTTTACTTCTCGATGTTTGACAAGTTTTATGTGTACGTCATCGCATATCGACGCCTAACGTCGAAGACGAGAAAAAAAACGCGCGGAAGGAACGTCTTCCAGAATATTAGAACTCAAATTTTTTGATTGACAAATGAAGGTCACGCCTGTTTTGGCGATGAACAAAGCTTATACAGGTTGTCCGTCTGTTCTTTGGAATATTTCAACAAACGGAAACTTTTTGGCGAATTTAGAGAATAAATGTAAAAAAAAAAAAAAAAAAAATATTTCTGTAATCACAAATCTATTCTAAAATCTCTGTGTAAAAATCGAGTTTCAAAAAAGTTTGCCAAAATCAGAACTTCTAAAATATCGTTCCTACAAATCTACAAGACATCCTGTATGCGCTCGTTATTCACGGAGCCGCTTATTTTGCAAAAGGTCTAGACCAGATTTGAATAAGAGAAAGAAAGAGAGAACGCATCGCGTAGCGTGTCTATTTTAATGAGATCTCGGAAGTTTGGTTTACGCCACTTTCAAAGTAAACTGCTCGTCCATTCTGTGCATAACTTGCGCACACGTTATGCATCACTACCATCCGTCCTCTTAACTTACTTCACGCGTCGGTTGGTTAATCGACCACTCGTGTCGTGCCGAGAACAGGTTCCCGATCGGCAACGCGAGTTAGTCAGTTTGGTAGGTCTAGGAAAGACAAACCTCCGCCGTCCCGCTGAATTTTGTATCGTCAGCGTGTATGTCACAGAAGGCGTATAGATTTTATTTTCACCGAAAAGAATCGTTATAATAAGCGTGTAAGAATTTTCGATCAAAAAAAAATTTATATATATACGAAGACGGTATTTTATTTAGTCACGCTATAAACAACAGAGTAGGATGTTATTTCTTCACAAAAATAATGCACAAACTATAACGTTTTTTTTTTGTTAGGTATACATTTTGCAATATTTTATTTATTGACTGCGTTTTTTATGAATTTCAATTTTTTTGTGAAGCGAGAAACGTTGTTTTAACTCGAAAGATTTCATTCAAGATTTTCACATTTTTTGGAATAAAATGCGTATTCGGATAAACAAGTTGAACGAGCGAAATTACACCGAATTCAAGAAACGCGTGTCGAGAATTGACGGCTGAGAATTTTTGTCTAAATTAATTTGACGGGTCTTAGGAAACAATTTTCAGCCTGTCCCTTGTTCTGGCAAAATCCACTTTTCCGTTGTACCTATCCTGGAAATAATTCAGTCGGCTTGTACTTAACGGAAGCTCGCTCTCTCGCAGCATCGCCGGCACCTAATAATAACCCCAGCCATTTATCATGATTCCTCCTCGTGCCATTTCTTCATAGCGTTCCAGTCGCATTTCGCGAGCCATCAAGAATTCCGCACGGTTGCGTTCGAAATTCTCTGTCAGACGTGTAATATATTGATAAAAAATAAAAAAAAATTTTTTTATTTTTTTTTAATAGAGAAAAAGAATAAAATTACGATTTCCGATCGCGCAATCGCATTAAATCGTGATGTCAAAACGGAAAAAAAGTGAGAATGTAAATTTTTTCTCGCGATATAAATCAAGATAGAGAGAAACTAATTTATAACAGTACTTAACTAAAGACTCTCTATCTCTCATGAATTATTCTCTGCTGGGGCGTTAATACGGTTTTCATTACGCAGATCTTAATTAGTAATAAAAGCTTCTTTCTCGTCATCGCTGCTCGATCAATATTGCAACAATAAACGCGATGAAAGAAAGGAGAGAGATCGCGTTTTTTTAATAATTGAATCCGCGTTAAGAAACGGCTTTTCTCTCGCGCGTAAACAGCTGGGATGCGTTTTAAATCATCGCTCAGCGCTTGCATAAAGCTTACATGAAGAAGCAACGGCAGAAAAGCCGAAGCGCGAGAAAGAGAGAGAGAGAGAGAAGAACGAAGATCGCGACGGTGTTCGTTCGCATTACATTCGGCAAGATCTTTTATGAGAGTCGTGGGAAACGTCGGTGATACGTGAGCATCGGTCGCGAGGAAATTTCACGTTCGCCGAACAGTAGTAAAACCGCTTTCGAGGCTGGCCGTGACGAATAACAAGTACTCGTCTCTCTCTCTCTCTCTCTCTTTCTCGTTCGCTTCCGGCTTTTCCGCCGCCATCCCGTTGGGTGTACTAACGTGCTATCGATAGCTCGTGATATTTTCCTGCAGAAGTCTAACACACCAAAAAAAAAAAAAAAAAACAAAAAAAAAAACAGCTGTGCGGAGAATTATGAATGTGACGTTTCCTATCGATAACCGAGTCGACGTGACAATTTTTATCGTCGGTGATCGAGAACACGTCAACCGAATGACAATTGACAACGTGACGAGTTTAACTCCTTCTGTGTGTGTGTGTGTTAAATTACGAACGCGATTTACCAATTGTCGGGCAATTCTTCTTTGACGAGCGTTTCTCGACGACGAGATTAACACATCTGAGTCGATAGGTAATTTGTTTTCCTCCGCGAGAATAGTTTTGCAAACGCGTTCCGGAAAAATCTCGATATCCCTCGGAAATCGATTTGCATAATACATGTGCGAGATGTAATTACCGGCAAAGTAACCACTCGGCCTAGAGAGAAGGATCTCTTTATCCCGACAAGTACAACGAGATGCCGATAGTGGAAGCATCTTCAAAGACGATTTTCAATCTCTAAGAAAGTGCTGCGAGGTACTTTCTATTTCCCCGCGGAGAGGATGAGCATTCGCGATCGCGCGTACGTGTGTGTGTGTGTACGTGTGTGCATCTCCGATCGCGCAGAAATTGATTTAAATAAAGTCCGTTTCTCGACTTTTTTCTTCGCTCCAAAAAAAAAAACTCGGACAAAAAATCACACAAAAACTTACTCGAAGAATTTTTGTTCTTATTCGCAAATTCGCGCGTAATGTATCAAAAATCCGCGTATCCCCCGAGAGTGCGATACACACATCACAGATTTTGGATATTTAAATCAACTCCCCCCTGTGCTGCGCCGATCGGTTATGCATGCGAACGTAAAGAGGAGGGTTTGAAAATCGTAAATCAAGAGAAAACGGAGAGTCAAAAAAAAAAAAAGAAAAAAAAAAGAAAAAAAAAGAAAATTGTATGTACAGTGTAGAATAGCGACGGCGCGTTCCGTGCTCTGCAGTGTAGAATAGCGCCGTCACAATCGATATGTATCGCGTACTACGGAGAAACTACGAGCGACGCCCTGTTCCCTGTGTGTACACCCTCGAAACAATAAAATTAACGCAAATAGATCTTAAGAGGATAACTGGACGAGAAGAAGGAGAGAGAGAGAGAGAGAGAGAGAGCGCGCTAGAGCGGAACGAAGCGCTCCGTCGGACAACTCTGTTTAGCGGCAAGTTTACCGTGCGTGTTGCAAAAGTGTATACGCGGCGCCCGAGACATGATGCATATTACACACAATACACGAGCACACATCATAATATGTATACGAACGCTCATACACGTACTATATATATATATACACACACAAACACACACACATACACACAAAGATACGAATGCGTGGCGTGAAACGCGAGGAACGCGGTCGCAAGTCGACGGCGCAAACCGAGACATGTATATAAATGTACGAGGTGTTTCTCAGTTTCTCGGACGGATTCTTCGAAACTTCCTCAGAGAGAGAGAGAGAGAGAGAAAGAGAGAGAGAGAGAGAGAGAGAGAGAGAGAGCGCAAAACTTACTTCACTTAGATGCTCTTGTTCGCGACGGAAGTTCTCGTCATCGCGACGAAGCTGACTCTCTTAACGCCACGTACTTAATTACATCGATCGTTAACGAAGTAGAATCTCTATTTTAATATCGATCTCGCCCTGTGAAATTTCAAAATGAAGAGACGAGAGTGCCGCGCCGTAAGAGAGAGAAAAGAAAAAAACAACAATACACTTCAGTGCACCGTCAAAGAGACGTTGAGAGTACGCCGAGGAGATTCAGGAACCCCTTGTACACCTATTTGTATGTGTATGTCTGTAAAATGTAAGTACAAGTATAAGAAAAAAAAACGCGCATATACACACAGGCTGTCACGTACGTCGTGATTCGTTGGGACGAGTTTTTGAAGGATCGATCGACTCTTCTGCTTCTCCTCCTCTCTCAACGAAAGAGAGAGAGAGAGAGAAAGAGAGGATATTCTTTCGACGGGAATCTAATAACGAAGAAGAAGTTTCTTGAGAAACGCGTTAGAGGGCTTTTTTTTCCCTTCCGAATTAACTTCTAAAGCGCAAAAAAAAAAAAAATAACAAAGCCAACAGCTCATTTCGCGAAATTTTTCAGCAAACTCAAACTAGTTTCATCTTTAACGAAAACGCAATTTCCACTTGGTCCGCCAAATATTTGATCAAATTTTCGCCGAGCAAAGGTCGATTACGCGAGTTCGCCGCGTTATCCATAACCAGAGAAATATTCCGGTAATCATCCGAGACGACACTCTGTGTGCATATTGTATGTACATACATACGTATGTATGTACATATACATGTATGTAGAAGAATATAAACTTACACACACGCAGACACGATCCTTGACGCGTGTGTGCGTGTGTGTGCATTACGTGCGTTAATTGTTAAGAAGCGCTCCTCTTAAAGCCGATCGAGCTAAAGGCGTCCTAATTGAATGCGTATGTGAATACTGACTTCTAACACAAACAGTTTTGTTTTACATTGTCCCGATTAATAAACAGAATGTGCATGTGCCTGTGTCCTTTGCTTCTAAAAAAAAAAAAAAAAGAAAAGAAAAAAAACAAAAACCAAAAAAAAAAACAACTGCCTACCAGATTAATGCTTTTTCACACACAACAAAATCCAAGTAACATCATTTATTTACATACCGCTTCTTTTTTGCATTGTGCTCCGACTGTTTTTTGCGAATCCGGCTATCGGATATTTATACTATACTATAGACACTCACTTGCTCACTTTCGTTCCTCTGTTTCTCTTTTTTTGTACATCTGCATCTGTCGCAAGAGAGTTGCAAGGTATAAAATATATATATATATATAAATAGAGAAGAGTGAGATTATATAAAGACAACGAAAAATTAACACGTGTTAATTTGCTGCGACCACGACGTGGTGGCCGTTAATCGTCGGATCGACTTTCACAGACCGGCGATTAATCTCGCTACCTTAGAAATAAGAAATCGAAAGGAAATAAAAATAAGAGAAAGAAAGGGGATGAGCATTAGGAGACGCGATGCAAGCGTCGATGCTTCGGCGCGAAGCACGCGCTCGAATATATTATTTTATTTATTTTTTTTTTTTCTCTCTTTCTTGTTCTTTCAACTTCGCTCGAGCTCCTGCGCTCCCTTCCACGACACCGCCCGCCCTCGATTGTCAGAGTCCGCTCCCGGTCCTGGGATTAATTCTGATAATACGAAAAGGGAGTGGAGGATTATCTCGCGAAGGTTGAGTCGAAGATGAGTTTTCGGAGTTTAAAAGCGCTCGGAAGACCCCGGGACAGAAGCTAAACGAATCTAATTCATTACACGCTACCTCCCGAACGTTCTGCAGAGGAAGAAATGTTTGCACAGCGTTTTAAAGGTTAAAAGTAGCCTGAAATACTCGCCGACCAAAGTTGAAAAATATATATGTATATATGTATATATATATATATATAAACTCCGCTGCTGTGCACCTCAAATATTTAAAGAGGACGAGAGTATTCGTCGCGCACACAAATGAGAGTACAGAATCCGATGGAGCGCAATTTCATTACGGCGAATAGAATCGATCGAATATCCTAATATCGGTACACTGACACATCAAGCGCGATATGTAGTGCAACTATGTAACATAATTTGGAAATTCGTTTGAGAGAGTTCTGAAGCTTCACCACGCGCGATCAAGTTGCGAGGTGCAATTGACAGTAGTAACTACACATATTTATTGTACGTATGTGTATGTAAATATAATACATATACATATACATATATATATATATATACATATATTTATTTATTTATTACAGCAATGCACAACGGCGTTGTACAAATATTCTTCCTCTTTGTCCTAGTGACATTTTCCGACGAGTCGCGCGAATCGATCCAGACGGAACGGGAGAATTAACGAGGACATTTTTCCTGAGACACTCGAGAGCGCAACGGTGTTACAAAAAAAAAAAAAAAAAAAAAAAAAAACGGGCGTCTATAATAAGATACTTTTGCCGCGACAGTTTTTTTTTTATTTTTTTATTTTTTTTTTTAAGTCGCTGTCGACAATTTTGCTCGCTCGATATTTATCGATGGGCTACGGTCGTGTATCTGACGAGGTTTCCTCTACCTTTCAGGGACCACCAGGATTAGACGGCATGAAGGTGAGCGATCCAACGGGGATGACCCCCGTTTTCACTATAGATTATCCTCCTTATTCGGACGCGCTTTAATTCCGTTTTCACGGTCTGACGTCTCTTTCGATGTGTCACATTCATCACTCGCGGTCTGAAATAATCAACCGAAAATTAAATCAAGTAGAAAGAAAATTAGATCGATAGAGCACGGCTCTTCCTCGTCGTGCGCACGCACGAGAGAGAGAAGCCGAGTGTCAAACGTCCGTCAAGTCTCTTCGTACTTTCAGGGTGCACAGGGCGAACCAGGAACGAAGGGAGAACGAGGAGATCCGGGATTGCCTGTAAGTCCTACGCTTCATCAAGTATTTATCCACCGTCGAATCCGATCCGTCTAACGTGCGATATCGCCCGTGAGCCGCGCTGTTCATGTTTATCGAGCACGCTCGGATATCTCGAGATTTATCGGCATTATCCCGAAGTGGGTTTGCCTTTTATCGAAAAATAATTTTCCAGCCAAAGTGGTCGATTCGTGCGGGACAAAATTTATTTGTGAACTTAGAAGGACGACTTTTCAAATAATAAATCTCTCGTGGAGATGAAAAGAATTTCCACCGAGTGAAATCAAAATTTTTCGAAATTCCACGGATTGTATTTTCTTTCTCAAACTGTTTAATTCGATCAATTTCTCTTTGTTATCCATCGCGCGCGCGATCTCTCGAAATCGAGTCGTGTCCGAGAAACGGGGCGTCAAGTCAACTCGCTGACTCGATTACATCTCCGTTGTCGTCGGCAGAGACACGCTAACGAGTCGATCTGTGTTTGTCCCCAGGGTACCGACGGGATTCCCGGTGCGGAGGTACAGTTGGCTTTCGATTATCGCTCGTCCTCCGGCGCGACAGCGACACAGTCTGACACGGTCTGACCAGCCCGGGGTAACGACGACACATTCTGGCTGATCTACCCCGGGGACTGTCTTGAAAAAAAGAAAAAAAAAAAAAACAAAAACAAAAGAAAAAATCGAAAAGAACCTATTTATCTCTCACTCCGTCCGATTTCAAAAGAGAACGGAGCAGCGTCTTGCGCCTTTCTCCCTCTTTCGCTCGAAATCCATTCTCTTTTGTTTCGCGTATTGTATAAAAACAAAAAAAATCTTCGCGTCTGCACGTTTTTTCTTTAACGTTTAAATTTTGACACAGATGTGCCATTGCGAATATAGAAATTTTTATTTACTTGTCAAATAATTTCGATTAAAGTTGCATGTCTCTTTTGACATTTTGAAAATAGAGAGAACGCTACGCAATTAATTTAAATTTCTATATAATTGTTGAACGGTCAAACAAGCGCGGGTTAAAAAGAACGGGATAAGATTCTCGCACGACTTCTGCGATACATGATCGAGTTGGAGAGGGTCGACCGATCAAAATTTATGGCCAAATTATATAACGGAGGGGGAAACGCGCAACTCCCTCGTGCTTCTCTCTGGAGTGTCCGGAAGGATGCTCGAGCAGTGCTTGTGTGACCGCTCGATGCACACCAATGCCAGAGCGTTTAAACGAAACGACTCCTCCTGTATGTACTCTCGAATACACGGCACAAGCTATTTTGTGAAGGAGTATGTAATACTTTTCACCTCTAAACGTACGACACTGTATTTTGTTTTATAGCAAAATATTTTATCTTGTGAAAAATTTTCTTTCTCTCTTTTTTACACGGAAAAAAATAAGTTTGCTAGAATAAAGAAGAAGATAAGTTACCGTTGAATTTTGTTTGTTTTATTAATACAAAGTTTTTGTTGACGAAACAAAAAATTCAATAGGTTTAGCTAATGTTTCTTGCTGGCCGTAGCAAAATATTCTTTTCCGTGCAAGAAAGCCTGACAAAAATTGTTTCTGCTTTTTTGTTATTTGCGAAAATCATTAGTTTATGTTTAAAAAAAAAACACGACAAAATTTCTCGATAGAGCGCGATTTTAATATATCTGTAACTTAATAACGTTCTCGAAACTGTTCCCGGGAAATTGTTGGTACCGAATTAAAACGAATTTTCTTGCGGACGGGTTTATTGACAGCGGATATTCTCGGTTTATTGACGTCTCTCGTATCTCTCTTCGGAGGCAAGAGCAATAACCAAGTGATCTACTCGAAATGCCGTGCCGTGCTTCCGGCCGCGAGAATCGATAGCCCCTCACGCGGGGTTCCGTGGTGGTTGTCGATGGCAGCGGAAGAACCGCTTGCCGTTCGCTCTGATCGATATATATGTATGTATACATCATATATAATGTACATACATATATATATATATATACACATACACATACACACATCGTGGTCACATGAAGCACCCTTCCTCGAGTGTACCTTTCGCGGAGACTCCGCTTCACTTTCTGGAACGACCGTGCGTCTCGCGTATTAAAAAAAAAACAAAAAAAAAAAAAGGCCAACAAGTTTAGCAACTAAATTCCTTTTGACCTTCCGTGTTCACCAATTCCAGGGACCGAAGGGAGAGAAAGGTGCCAAAGGCGAATCTGTGAGTATTGACTTAATTCGACGTATTCACGTGCTCTCAAACTCGGGAGCGACTGGTGTATAATTATAACTCTACTTTATTCGCGGGGATACGAAAGCGTGTGTGAGATGTGCGATTTGAGCCCGCGTGTGATTAGAGACGTGTGCGGCGCACAGGGGAGGGAGATCTGCTTGTTTGCGTCAAAACAGTAACCGATAGAGGGACGAGAGCGGATGTAATCGTACGTACACACGTGCAAATCCCGAACCGAGACGCGTGCTTTCGGTGTACGCCGCGGTGTACGTATCCTTGATCCACGCGCGCGCGGAAGCACATCAGCCCGATTTTAGTTTCACTCCGCGGCAGCGGAGTCATTAGGTTCGTGGAACAGACGCGAAATTAATTACCATCGTTAGAGAGACTCCGGGATCTCGGTTGATTAGCTCGATTCGGCGATCGTCAAGCGACACGTCGGATGCATCGCAAGAGAGTCGGCAACGAGATTGATAAGGCGAGATTTTGCGCTATCAATTTTCGCGTCTCGCGGTTCTCGCGTCCTTTCGCATCCCCGCGCTTATCTTTTATTCACGACTATTGCTGCAAGCGCACGTCGGCAGGCTCTCCAACCGACGTCATCGTCGCCGTCGCCGTCGTCGTCGTTCGTCGTCGTTTACGAACGAAGAGATCTGCGAGATTTCGCAGAGCGACGAGCCACAAGGTCACAAATATAACGGAAGTAACTTCCGTGATAGGAACGCGAGGAGAACACTTCCCTTAACACACACACACACATATATATATATACACAGACAGTACCCACGCCTATATCTTCCCCCCAGCAAGTTGCCACACGGTTCCCTCGCGAGACTAACACACTTAGCGCGTACACACAAATTTGTATATATACTTTATGGCTGCCACCATCGTTCCGTGAAAGCGCACAGTCACGGGGCGCGAGTAATAGTTAGAGAAGAAGGCATTAGAAATGCTCGAGAAACGAAGAGCTAACGAAGCGACGCTGTTGCGTCCGCGCTTTGTCGGGAACAATCGAAGATTATCCTGACCGATTTCCGACGATTTAAAGATAAAGTCCAAGTAAATTTTGCTCGAACGCGTTTTATAAAGAAAACGATTGTGTGAATTAAAACGGATATATATGTTGTATATCCGATTGATTGAATCCGCGACAACGGCTGTTGTCGTTCGCTCTTCGTGCTCTTCGTCGTGGTATTGTGCACCGATCGATCAAGTATTATATATATAATGCATAATCCAACAAAATATTATGCCTGGCCTTACTTGCACGTCGCGAAAACTTGCATCGGGGCGTTTTCCGATGTCAGAGGGATGATGCATCTCGCGTGTGCGCGCAGGGCCCGCTGGGTAAACGCGGCAGAAAAGGCGACAAAGGCAACAAAGGAGATCAAGGCGTTCCGGGATTGGACGCGCCGTGTCCGCTGGGACCAGACGGACTTCCTTTGCCGGGTTGCGGTTGGAGGCCACCGCAGGTAAACTGATATCTTTATTTTGTTTTCCCCCCGAACTCGCGGGGTAAAAATGATTGAGGAAAGAGAGACGTTGCGTTGTGCGAATCGGGCGTGTTATTCTTTGGAATATCTCGCAGACGATGCGAAACGAAAAGTTTTTGTTGTAAGTATTTTAGAAGTTGTGTAATAATGATAATTTAACGAAAAAGTTTGTATATATAAAAATAATAACTTGTTATGTGTGATTAAAAACTAAATTATTGTAAAAACAATAGCAAAATAATGTCTTATATACAAAACAAAAAATATTAAATATTTAATATATTTTAGTTAGAGATTGTAAAATAATTTGTTATATAACAGAGTGGTTACATAATTTAAGTAAAAAATTGTTTATAATAATATAATTTATGTAAAATTGTAAAAGAGCACACAGATTATGTAAAAAAAACGGACGTTCTAAATTTTTCGAAATAATGGAATACTTAACATTATCGTGAATAAATTAAGGTTGTGGTGGCTATTGGTTGTGTGGAATGTTATTGCTAATAATAGCTAATAATCGGGGGATAATCCAACTAACGCTGGGGATAACGAGAGGGATAAAGAGAAGAGGGGGGGGGGTGGGAGTGTGCTACGGGGCACGCTTGGATTTTCTCGTGTGTGCTTAGCAGGACATCACGAGTACGTCCTCGCCGGCGATCGAAGGTCCTGAGCCCGCGGAGACGGATTACGACGAGTCGGAGGACGACTACGACGACTACACGGACCCGAATGGGAACCTAGCCGAGCAATAATGCTCGTTTTTGTGCGCGCTGCTCTAATCACTACCGACAACTACCATCACCAACTACACCATCATCTCCACTACCACCACCACCACCACCACCACCACCACTACTACCACCCTCATCACTCGTCTCACCTCGTTCTCCCAAACTAACGTGTGGTCCCGGTAATTGCAAAATCCCGTAGTAATACTAACGCATGATATTTTTAACATTTTGTTGTCGCATCGATATCTACGCTCTTGCGATGCTGCTTTTTAATGCTGCATTATCTTTTTCTCACGGCGATTCTAAAAGCGCAATGCCTAGTTTACTTAGTCGCGCAAATTTCACGCGAGAGAAATTGCGAGATATAAATTTCTCTTTTTTAAATTTCCTTTAAATCTGTAATATCTTTTTTTTTAAATCGATCGCACAATATTGTCCACTAATATATTACAAAAATATTGGTTTATATTATTCGCATGTCTAGTTTGAAGATCTACACATCTCGCGGATTCTTTGTTTTTTTTTACTAAAGACATAACATGCGGTAATCTTCCTGTAAATCATTTTTTTACGTATAACGCATGAACATGTAAGAAAAAAATTGATAATAACTTTAGAAAGCTTGCTTTTTTTGTGCGAACTTAGATTAAAACAAAAAAAAAAACAATACGTCAAATATTCCCGCTCGCTTGTTCGTTACTCTTCCTCCCCGGGCATCAATCTGATTCATGAGCTAGCTAGCGAGAAACTTGCGATACACGAAATCCAGTGCTGCTTTATGCGTGTCGAGACAATTCCGTTGGCGATATAGACGATTCACAGCTTGCTTGCAAACTCGCGAGAACAATCTGATTCGTAAGACAATCAGTGACACCTTTTCCCCGTTTCTGCTTTACAGCCGAGGAATCGGGGAGTCAATATCCTGAGCAAGTGGCTGGAGGAGGAGGAAGAGGAGGAAGAAGAGGAAGAGGAGAACGACCGGCAGTGATGTTGCAAGGACAATAGCGCATTTTGTTTTTCTTTTTTTTTTTTTTTCATAAGAACTATCATACATCTCTCTTCTGTTCCCGCCTCCGTCTCGTTACGACGACCGCGTTATAAAACACACAAAAAAATATACATATATATATATAAATATATATATATATTATATATAACGTCAAAAATAATTACATCTTGCCATCGAGTGTTGTAAATATGTGTACTTACAGTGTCTAGCGTCCGCAGTGCGTGTACATAAAGTAATTAGAGCTTACTGCGAATCACACACACACAAGTATACGGTGATCGATATCATCCGCAATTGATAACCACTTTCGATTCCAAGTGCGCGGCTTTTGCACCTCACGTGTGAGAAAAAAATAGAGGAAAAAGATCTGGAAAATATTTAAAACTACCACGAAGAGACACATTGTGGAGTGCGACCGGGGAAGAGGTAATCTCAGAAAAGAAGCGGAGGACTGCTAAAAAAAAAAAAAAAAAAACACGTTTTCGGGAACATACGTGACGGTGCGAGGCAACACGTTTCCTAAATCGAATGAGGATTTTTGGGACGAACTGAGAAGAATATTCTCTCTTCGCGGATATTCTTGAACAAGCACGACGACGTACGGACGAAGAAGGAAAAAAACCAACATCGCGCTGACGGATTAGCTCTCAGTCACGGGCTGAAGCGCATCTAAAAATTTCTTTTTCACGATACAATACTTTAAGATCATTGAATTGCCCGCTTGTACACACACAGATGTTCTTGAAAATTTGTTACAAAACTCTCGTGTATTCTCAACGATTTTTGTGCAATCAGACCGCCTCTCAGCTAATCCGTACTTGTGAAGAGATTTTTGCCACAGAGCCAACGATGTAAACTCGCGCGTTGATGTTCACAAATAAGAAAACAAAAAGTGTGAGAAAGAGAGAGACATTTTTTGATATGTGACTAGTTTTGATTAGTGGCGCGCACTCCGCGTGTTACGTCCCGTCTAGATTAGAATCGTATCGCGCTAGGAGCTGTAACGCGTTTTAAGAGAAAGAAAAAAGTACTGACTTTGTACACACGTACATATGTATATATGTACGTACGTACATATATACACATACACACACACACACGCGCACACACACGTACACTTTGTCAATACTTTCCGAGGTATCGTTAAAATAAATCAAGTATAAGTGTATATCTTCTTCGATGTCATACAGAACAATATTGGACCGCCGCGTCGAGGCTGTTCTCTCGTTTTTATCTCTCGCGGACGTTTGCAGCCCGTGTCCCGCACGCAAATATTTTCCGTACATGTCAAAACGATGTTCATACAAAAAAAAAAAAAAAAAAAAAAAAAAAATACTAGAATAAAAGAAAAAAGATGAGAAAGATAGAGCCGAGGTGTTAGCTCGTCGGAATATCGACAGTCAGACGCTACGTTCGACAGACGTGTGCGAAACGCCGGCTTATCTCAGGCGCATTGATCCGCCCCGTTCAAAACAGAGCGAAATATAGAAGTTATGCCGCGCGATTCTTCACAATTTTTCGCGTCCCACTAAAACCGACAGTTGTCTCGTTCGTTCGTCATCAGAATATTCGCAGATTAATTTATTATAATTTTTATTTCGATTATTAATCGTGTCTCGACTTTGTTTTTTTTTTTTAGTAAAGGTCACAAAAAATTGTGTCCTTTTTTTTTAAATACATATATACGTAAGTCACGCGAGGGATGAAACGGACGAGGAGGAAGAGATTCGTTTCGACTCGATATAAAAACATGAGATGACGGTCCATCTTGTCGTCGTAAAAAAAAAAAAGATTTATTGCGAAAACGTTTACATTTGCCGTCACAGCTTGAGCAATTTGTACTTCTTGAAATATTTCTGCACTTGATCCTTCGGGTAGGGCTTCGTTACGAGACACGTGGCGATGTTCTCAGGCTGTTCTATCCACATCTTGTGCTGAATGAGATCCTCCTCGAGTTTCGAACACAGCGTCCGCATACTCGCTTCATCGGCGGCCTATTCATTATTCACATTCGTCAATTCTCGTCTACGGTGTGTTTCGTTGTTGTTCAAGTTAATTTATTCCGTCGCGTCAAACGCAACTTCGCTCGGTGGCAATCGAGTTATTTGCGAACGAGAACGACGAGACGAAATTAAGTTTTTTTTTTCCCGCGCGCACTGCGAACTTTTTTGGATGTTGCGTCGCGATCGAAATTTGGCGTGCGCCCGCCAAGTTTTTTCATCATACTCACTTCGAGAACAACCTTGTGCATATTGTCCAAATCGGCGAGATAAGCCTGCGTGTGGGCGTCATTATAATAGAGATGTGTGACGGCGGTGCACGCGTGACAAGCCTGAGCGATCACGGCGCCAACTGGCCATCCCATTGTCTTCAAGAGATCTCCCCGCACCACGACGTATTGAACTATTCCGGACATTCTGGCGGGAAAGATCGCTTTCCTGAAATTCGCTTCGAAACGGTTTCGCGAAACAAAGAAAAAGAATTCGAGTAAACGGCGGAGAACAGCGAGAAAGGAAGGAAGGAGAGAATTCTCGAGCGCGAGATCGGCGTTTGAACTCCCGCCGCGCGTTTTTTTTTTTTTCGTCTTATGCTTAAGATGGCCCAGGTTTTAATTAGTAAGTGCCAAAAAAAAAAAAGTATATATATTATTATTCGTACAGATATAGGATACGATAAAGCAGATAAACTTCCGCGTATTATTTATATATCGAAATTGTGTATATCTTGCCCGGCTCACAGCGACGGCTAACGCAAAAACGCGCGTAGAAAGACGCATTTTTGCTTAAACCTCTAAGCGTCGTTCCTTCGATGTTGCGGCATACGCAAGATGTATTATTTATACAAATTGTTGTTATTAAAGACAAATAACGCAGAAATAATTAGCACATACGACACATTACGGTTTACGGAGAGACGAAGTTTATTCATTCCCAACCCTCTCATTACAAATCTCTGCTGTCCTAACGATTAGAAAAAAAAAAAAAACTGTTTTTAAAACAAACAGATTCGAAGTTTACAACCAACCTGTGGAAAGAATGATGCCCATATATAAAGAGTCAACGCTACCGTCGGTGCGCAATAATATTATTTCAGTGAGAAGAGTGTTGTTTTACACAAATTTATGCGAAACAATATTTTAACGCGTGGTCACAGGTTTAATTTTCAAGGAAATAAAAACTTGAGGAAAAACATTATTCATTAAGAAAAATCGCTCATTATATATCTTGTAGCTTTAGTCAAATATAATGCATGTATAAAGAAAGCTACTTTAAGTAAATCATTTATGATGACAAAAAAAAACAAATTTACCTCTTTGACACGTAAAACGTTCGCGATATCCGGCGACTGACAGTAACGTTCGAGAGGTTACCTGGTGTCTTCTTCTACAAACACACAATCTTTTTTTAATTGATAAGTAAGGCCATTGCAAGGAAATGGAGTACGCAAATTAAAATATAAGAGATATCGATATGATTTGACGTACCTGATTTAAATTCGAGAAGCAAGAAGTATAAATTGTGCTTGTCAACACTTGTCACATGCACCAGTCGTCTGCTCAATAGATAAATACGTCAATGTTGCCATCTTGAATTTAGGGAATTTCTTTCCTCGAAATCTTGGTTCTTTTTCGCACTTCTGCCAACTCTTAGAATTGATACTTTCCATAAACCCTAAAACTTCAGCCCATGAGCAGAGAGAAGTCTGAGAGCGGCCAGGTCCATGAGAGAATGTGTAATCACTTTTCTGCCCCGTAAACTAGCGCATGTCCACGGGTGGTGCACATTGGAACTACGCAGTCATGTCCACGAGCGACATGTCGGTACGCTGTGTCCACAGCGTGCGGTTCTATTCTGTGCTATGTGCACGAGTCCAACTGGTCATCTTCTTCAGGTGTGTGAGTATATTCGCGAGCGTGGATTTGATTTCTTTTGGAATTTAAAATGAGACCGGTCTCGTGATAAGAAGATGAGAAAGGAGAACAGAAAAGGATAAGAAAAAACATTGCAACTTTCCACACAACATAAATGTGACATACATAAGAAAAGATGTGATAGTCAAGAAAAGAATATTATTTTAGCGAGCAGCATCAGAATTCATTGAGTGTACTCAGGTATCATCTCCTTTTACATCATCATTTGCTGCTCTTTGCTTTTATAAATTTTATTTTCTTAAAAACACTACATATATACGTATACAAAATACACAAAAAAAACATATATATTACACAAAGGTGTTTTACCGGTACACAAACATATATGTCTGAGAAGTTGCAATTACAAGAAGGATACAAAAAATTGTAACAAAGCAGAGTAATAGGTATCCTTGGAATTGCAACTTTTCAGACATATATATTGGTGTACCGGTAAAACACCTTTGTGTAATATACATGTTTTTTTTTTGTATATTTTGTATTTATGTACGTATATATGTAGTGTTTTTAAGAAAATAAAATAAAATTTATAAGAGCAAAGAGCAAATGATAATGTAAAAGGAGATGATACTTAATGATACACTCAATGAATTCTGATGTTGCTCGCTAAAATAATATTCTTGACTATCACATCTTTTCTTGTACGTCACATTTATGTTGTGTGGAAAGTTGCAATGTTTTTTCTTATCCTTTTCCGTTTTCCTTTCTCATCTTCTCATCACGAGACCGGTCTCATTTTAAATTCCAAAAGAAATCAAATCCGCTCGCGAATATACTCACACACCTGAAGAAGGTGACCAGTTGGACTCGCGCATATAGCACAGAATAGAACCGCACGCTGTGAACACAACGCACCGACGTGTCGCTCGTGGACATGGCTGCGTGGTTCCAATGTGCACCACACCCGTGGTATATGCGCTAGTTTACGGGACGGAAAAGTGATTACACATTCTCTTATGGGCCGCTCTCAGTCTTCTCTCTGTTTTTTTACCAACTTTGATCGTAACTCAATTTGCCGATTAAATTAGACAAATTGTCAACTTAATCGTCTCTAATCTACTTCTTTAGTAGCCGTCAAATGTTAGCAATCTGTAAATTTAACTGACCGATTAAATTGATCGAAATGTGCGAGAGATCTGTTCCACAATTTTTTCAGATATACCAACTTTCCTGATCATAATATCCTAGTACATTTATTTTCCTTCAAAATTGCAGTTTTAGTTACGTTGTCGACAAGTAGATGTCGTAGTGGTCCTTAGTGCCGGTCCCTTGCTCTAGGGTATATATACGCACCGGCGACGACAATACAGTTCTACGTTGGAAAATCGCACGAAACCGGTCGACCCGGCTACTTACGTTCTCTCGTCGTCGTTGCGTTCCTCGAATCGTCAAGTCACCGTTTTCTGCGAGGAAGTTAATCGAGGTAACTGTCACTAAAAAACATTATCAGCTTTTGTTCCTCACCGAACAAATGTCAATCAGATTTATTTAATTGGTAGTCCGTATATTTTTATGCGAATAAGAGACTCGTCGAATCGACGCTTCTAATCGTCTCGCGGCGTTCTTTTGTTTGCTTACGACCTAAATTCGTCGGCGATACATCGGACGACGCCTCCGTTGAAATTGCTCACTTGTACCACGGAATATTCAATGGGGATTTGAAAGAGAAGTTACGTAACGGAGAAATACTCTGTGTCTCCTCCGGTTGATATTGAAACTTGGATTGATTCGTTTCGGTCTGTTTTTGCGATGATGACGACGAAGGTCATTCGCGAGAAAAAGAGAACGTTGTGTCCGCGCTAGAGTCGCGCGTTACGCCGTGATATATACCGGCGAACGTAATAAAGATCATGCACTTCATTATCACTAATCGCGTTTGAATAAACTATTGAGCAGTCGCGGAAACGAGAACGGAAAGTATTTCGAGTGTGTAGATGAGCTTACGTTGACGTTTAAAAGTTTGTTTTTTTTTTGTGCAACAGAGATTCTTTTTTTTTTCTTTGTATTCACTGTTGCGCAAATTAATGCAACTGTTGGTCTGTTCAACTTATCGCTAATAAATTTGCATTCTTTTAGCGCGTTTCTTTTTTTTTTTATTCGCGATAATATTATTGTGGCTGTGTGGGAAAGGAAAATATAAACAATTACGAAGTGATTGTAAGCATCGTGAGAGTTTTCTCTTAATTACTTGCGTTTCATGTGTTGTTGTTTCAAACTGAAATCCAAAACATTTCAACCAAGCTTCCATGTAAATACAGTATTATCAATATTCGCGTAATTAAATTTATTATATTTTACTTTTATAGTTTAATAAATATATAATATATAT